GTGTCATTCTGTCACTGGGTATGTGATAGCTACAGATAGCAGATACTATTATCGGAAACTAAAAGTGTGTTTATGTGTTCTACGGATATTCATCTCTGCTAGATATAGTCATCGCCTGCTCAGTAGACATGTGTGTCATTCTGTCACTGGGTATGTGATAGCTACAGATAGCAGACACTGTCATCGAAAACCAAAAGTGTGTTTATATATTCTACGGATATTCATCTCTGCTAGATATAGTCATCACCTGCTCAGTAGACATGTGTGTCATTCTGTCACTGGGTATGTGATAGCTACAGATAGCAGATACTGTCATCGAGATGATTTATTTATTTATCTGTGAATTTTTGCTTTATTTTACAGATGTTTTTTTCTGCTAAAAGCTTATCTGTGCATATTTTGTTTCAGTTACTCTGACAGGTGTTTATCTCTGCTAGATATAGTCATCACCTGCTCAGTAGACATGTGTGTCATTCTGTCACTGGGTATGTGATAGCTACAGATAGCAGATACTGTCATCGAGATTATTTATTATTTATGAAAGCTTATCTGTGAATATTTTGCTTTAGTAACTCTTACAGGTGTTTATTTCTGCTAGATATAGTCATCACCTGCTCAGTAGACATGTGTGTCATTCTGTCACTGGGTATGTGATAGCTACAGATAGCAGATACTGTCATCGAAAACTAAAAGTGTGTTTATGTGTTCTACGGATATTCATCTCTGCTAGATATAGTCATCGCCTGCTCAGTAGACATGTGTGTCATTCTGTCACTGGGTATGTGATAGCTACAGATAGCAGATACTGTCATCGAAAACTAAAAGTGTGTTTATATGTTCTACGGATATTCATCTCTGCTAGATATAGTCATCACCTGCTCAGTAGACATGTGTGTCATTCTGTCACTGGGTATGTGATAGCTACAGCTAGCAGATACTGTCATCAAGATTATTTATTATTTATGAAAGCTACTCTGTGAATATTTTGCCTTAGTAACTCTTGCAGGTGTTTATTTCTGCTAGATATAGTCATCACCTGCTCAGTAGACATGTGTGTCATTCTGTCACTGGGTATGTGATAGCTACAGATAGCAGATACTGTCATCGAGGAATAAAAGTGTGTTTATGTGTTCTACGGATATTCATCTCTGCTAGATATAGTCCATCGCCTGCTCAGTAGACATGTGTGTCATTCTGTCACTGGGTATGTGATAGCTACAGCTAGCAGATACTGTCATCGAGATTATTTATTATTTATGAAAGCTACTCTGTGAATATTTTGCTTTAGTAACTCTTGCAGGTGTTTATTTCTGGTAAATATAGTCATCACCTGCTCAGTAGACATGTGTGTCATTCTGTCACTGGGTATGTGATAGCTACAGATAGCAGATACTATTATCGAAAACTAAAAGTGTGTTTATGTGTTCTATGGATATTCATCTCTGCTAGATATAGTCATCACCTGCTCAGTAGACATGTGTGTCATTCTGTCACTGGGTATGTGATAGCTACAGATAGCAGACACTGTCATCGAAAACTAATAGTGTGTTTATGTGTTCTATGGATATTAATCTCTGCTAGATATAGTCATCACCTGCTCAGTAGACATGTGTGTCATTCTGTCACTGGGTATGTGATAGCTACAGATAGCAGACACTGTCATCGAAAACCAAAAGTGTGTTTATATGTTCTACGGATATTCATCTCTGCTAGATATAGTCATCACCTGCTCAGTAGACATGTGTGTCATTCTGTCACTGGGTATGTGATAGCTACAGATAGCAGATACTGTCATCGAGATTATTTAATATTTATGAAAGCTTATCTGTGAATATTTTGCTTAAGTAACTCTTACAGGTGTTTATTTCTGCTAGATATAGTCATCACCTGCTCAGTAGACATGTGTGTCATTCTGTCACTGGGTATGTGATAGCTACAGATAGCAGACACTGTCATCGAAAACTAAAAGTGTGTTTATGTGTTCTATGGATATTAATCTCTGCTAGATATAGTCATCACCTGCTCAGTAGACATGTGTGTCATTCTGTCACTGGGTATGTGATAGCTACAGAAAGCCGATACTATCATCGAAAACTAAAAGTGTGTTTATGTGTTCGACGGATATTCATCTCTGCTAGATATAGTTATCACCTGCTGAGTAGACATGTGTGTCATTCTGTCACTGGGTATGTGATAGCTACAGATAGCAGATACTGTCATCGAGATTATTTATTATTTATGAAAGCTACTCTGTGAATATTTTGCTTTAGTAACTCTTGCAGGTGTTTATTTCTGGTAAATATAGTCATCACCTGCTCAGTAGACATGTGTGTCATTCTGTCACTGGGTATGTGATAGCTACAGATAGCAGATACTCATCGAAAACTAAAAGTGTGTTTATGTGTTCTATGGATATTCATCTCTGCTAGATATAGTCATCACCTGCTCAGTAGACATGTGTGTCATTCTGTCACTGGGTGTGTGATAGCTACAGATAGCAGATACTGTCATCGAAAACTAAAAGTGTGTTTATGTGTTCTATGGATATTAATCTCTGCTAGATATAGTCATCACCTGCTCAGTAGACATGTGTGTCATTCTGTCACTGGTTATGTGATAGCTACAGATAGCAGACACTCATCGAAAACTAAAAGTGTGTTTATGTGTTCTATGGATATTAATCTCTGCTAGATATAGTCATCACCTGCTCAGTAGACATGTGTGTCATTCTGTCACTGGGTATGTGATAGCTACAGATAGCAGATACTGTCATCGAAAATAAAAAAAAGTGTGTTTATATTTTGTTTAGTACGGATATATTCATCTCTGCTAGATATAGTCATCACCTGCTCAGTAGACATGTGTGTCATTCTGTCACTGGGTGTGTGATAGCTACAGATAGCATACACTGTCATCGAAAACTAAAAGTGTGTTTATGTGTTCTATGGATATTAATCTCTGCTAGATATAGTCATCACCTGCTCAGTAGACATGTGTGTCATTCTGTCACTGGGTATGTGATAGCTACAGATAGCAGATACTGTCATCAAGATTATTTATTATTTATGAAAGCTAAAAGTGTGTTTTTGCTGTAACTCTATGGATATTATCTTTGCTAGATATAGTCATCACCTGCTCAGTAGACATGTGTGTCATTCTGTCACTGGGTATGTGATAGCTACAGATAGCAGACACTGTCATCATCGAAAACTAAAAGTGTGTTTATATGTTCTACGGATATTAATCTCTGCTAGATATAGTCATCACCTGCTCAGTAGACATGTGTGTCATTCTGTCACTGGGTATGTGATAGCTACAGATAGCAGATACTGTCATCGAAAACTAAAAGTGTGTTTATATGTTCTACGGATATTCATCTCTGCTAGATATAGTCATCGCCTGCTCAGTAGACATGTGTGTCATTCTGTCACTGGGTATGTGAATAGCTACAGATAGCATACACTGTCATCGAAAACTAAAAGTGTGTTTATGTGTTCTATGGATATTAATCTTTGCTAGATATAGTCATCACCTGCTCAGTAGACATGTGTGTCATTCTGTCACTGGGTATGTGATAGCTACAGATAGCAGACACTGTCATCGAAAACTAAAAAGTGTGTTTATGTGTTCTATGGATATTAATCTCTGCTAGATATAGTCATCACCTGCTCAGTAGACATGTGTGTCATTCTGTCACTGGGTATGTGATAGCTACAGATAGCAGATACTATCATCGAAAACTAAAAGTGTGTTTATGTGTTCTACGGATATTCATCTCTGCTAGATATAGTCATCACCTGCTCAGTAGACATGTGTGTCATTCTGTCACTGGGTATGTGATAGCTACAGATAGCAGATACTGTCACCGAGATTATTTATTATTTATGAAAGCTTATCTGTGAATATTTGCCTTAGTAACTCTTGCAGGTGTTTATTTCTGCTAGATATAGTCATCACCTGCTCAGTAGACATGTGTGTCATTCTGTCACTGGGTATGTGATAGCTACAGATAGCAGATACTGTCATCAAGATTATTTATTATTTATGAAAGCTACTCTGTGAATATTTTGCCTTAGTAACTCTTGCAGGTGTTTATTTCTGCTAGATATAGTCATCACCTGCTCAGTAGACATGTGTGTCATTCTGTCACTGGGTATGTGATAGCTACAGATAGCAGATACTGTCATCGAGATTATTTAATACTTAAGAAAGCTTATCAGTGAATATTTTGCTTTAGTAACTCTTACAGGTGTTTATTTCTGCTAGATATAGTCATCACCTGCTCAGTAGACATGTGTGTCATTCTGTCACTGGGTATGTGATAGCTACAGATGGCAGATACTGTCATCGATAACTAAAAGTGTGTTTATGTGTTCTACGGTGGTAGGGCCATGCAGCACGAATGTGCAGGCCCGTCCGGGTGAGCACCACGACCTCACAGAAGACCAGCGTAAAGTGGAAGTATGACAAATACTTTCGCGTTTCGTCTGGTGAGTGAGGTAGCCGGAGCCCAATTTTCTAAAGGCTGTCAACGCATCTGTAACCCTCGGGTGTGGCAAATGTCCATGGGCGGCGGTATTCACTTAACATCTGGTGAACCGTCTGCTCGTTTGACAACTTTTTACATAAAAAAAACATAGTCATCTCTGCTAGATCTAGTCTTCACCTGCTCAATAGACACGTGTAACATTCTGTCACTGGGCATGTGATAGCTACAGATAGCAGTTACCATCAGTGAGGAATAAAAGTTTGTTTATGTGTTCTACGGATATTCGTCTCTGCTAGATTTAGTCATCGCCTGCTCAGTAGACATGTCTGTAATTCTGTCACTGAATATGTAATAGCTATAGATAGCAGATACTATCGCCGAGGAATAAAATTGTGTTTATGTGTTCTACGAATATTCATCTCTGCCTAGATATAGTCATCACGTGCTCTTAAGACGTGTATGTCATGTATCACTAGGTATGTGATGGCTAGAGATTGCATTTATCACTCACCTTGTTTACAAGACAGTCTCTGAAGTCCTTCTTCATCACGGAGACCGAAACTCTGTCTTGGGGCCTCTTTGGACCACTCACTGAAGTGACCACCGTTGCAAGATCCAATTCCACAACCTGAAATGTGTTACAGTTGTGAAAACACTTTCATTGTGTCATAAATATCATTTTCATATGGTAAGCATGCATCATAGAGTTTCAAAGGGTAGGGATATTATGTATTATCTGTTTATGTGAGAAGTTGGCAAACAAGCTAGCTGTTCACCTGATGTGAATTTATAATTACCGACCAAAGCATATGCAACACCTGGGGTTGCAGGCAACACGTAGGGCAGCAGATGCGTTGCCGCCTTTTAATAAAGTGGGATAAGGCTACTTCACCAGATGAAACGCAGGAGTGTAACACTTCCACCTCAGGCCTGTCTTCTGTGTGGTCGTGGTACTTCCCCGGACATACTTGCCCATTTGTGCAACAGCGAAGACTGTTGCGTTGCCCTACCACTACCATTTTGCGACATGTTTCATATACACATTTTTAAGTTTCACATCAAGTGCAAAGACTAAATTATTGAATTTGAATTTAATTCATGAATTAAATTCACGAAAGTAGACATGACTGACACTAACTAAGTATGGCTTTGATGACTACATAGCGCAGTTGCCAAGGTATCAACTTCAGCCCCAGGGGTCGTGGGTTCGATTCCCAAACGAGACGACAATTTGCGTTACCCGCGAATAATTTTTTCCGATCTGGGTACTTGTCGAAACACAAATACAGTGTGAAATTTATGTATATGTAACGCCCTTACAGCACAGGACAATGTTATCCTACCGTAAGGGGGCAATATTCGAAAGGAAGACTACAATAGACCATAAGTCGATAGTAGTTGGAACGTACTATCCAACCCCTTCCACACACAGTACAAATACAAGTACGGCAATATTACACCTGATCTATATAGCACACTGTGACACCACGTCTGTGACGTCACGGTAGCCAATTTATGAAATAAATATATGTATGTGAAACGTTCATACAACACACGATAATGCTCTCCCACCGTAAGGGGGCAATACTTCGAAGGGAAGACTACAATAGACCTTCTAGTTCGCAGAGGTTGTTCAGTACCCAATCGCACAATACACCTGATTTATACAGGGAGGCTTTTCAAAGTGTATCAATTTTTTTTATTAAATTCTAGACAAATAATGTTATATAAAAGATGATAAATATTTAAAATCACTTATTATATTCATTTGAACTTATCTCAAAAAGTGCGTGATTTATACGCAACTCGTTTATTTTACGCGCGATCATTCATAACTAACACGCACACAAGTACGTTTCAAATATATACGAAGCATTTATGAATAACTACCGCATTATCAACAATTTCTGTTTTTTAAGGAATTGAATTGCATTGAGGTCTGTGACGTCACGGTAGCCAAACCCTCACCTCGGAGAATACCGGATCCTGGTCGGTGTTGGTGTAGTCCCGGAACTGCTTTGTGGCGCGCAAGTACTCCTCGATGAGACGGATCTTCTCCTCGGAGCGGTCTGGAAACGGTGCGGAGTCAGGGTGAAAATATGTGTGATGCCGTTACCATCCAATCACCTGCCACCGTTAAACTTTTCCTCTGTGCGAGTTTTTTTTTAGCGTGTAAACGGCAAACGAGCCGGCCGTTCATGATGTCAAGTGATATCCGCCACCCATGGACACCCGTATGGTAGCAAATGCGTTGCCACATTTAAGTAAAGTGGGCGCCGGCTACCTCACTCACCAGGCGAAACGCAGAAGTGTACTTCCACTTTACGCCGGTCTTCTGTGAGGTGGTGGTAGTAACCCGGACGGGCCTGCCCATTCGTGCAACAGCGAACACTGTTGCATGGCCATGGGTACTCCTCTTAACCAGGAATTGTCAATATTCGTTAAAAGAAAGGACTTTCGGCACAAGTAGAGGGAGAAATCCGAAAAATAAAAAAAGTTGAAAATTAAGGTAAAATTTGGTACTTAAAAAGTTTTCGCGAAAATCTAATTTTGCCCATATCTCTTTATCCTGTTGACTCAATAGGGACTATAATATATATTCCAGAAAACGTTCAGAATGCATCAATAGCTAAATTTAAAAAAATAGTAAAAGAATGTTTGTGTGTTAAAGGCAAATAATATTAATGATTATTTAAATGATAACACACTATGGTAATAAACTGCTCGCTCCGGGTTCTTTCAATCAGAGTCGTTATATTGTATCTTTAATGAATTCATGCCAAACTTCTAATTAAAAAAAAAAAAATAAAAAAAAAGCCCGCTGAGTTTCTTTCACCGGTTCTTCTCAGTACAGTGGCTTTCTTTTCCGAACCGGTGGTAGTGTTTTGACTATCAATAAGCGAGTGTAATGCTCCTATGTTGAATAAAGACATTTGATTTTGATTTTGATTTACAGACCTCAGTGTCTGTTATAAATTTCAACTTGCTAGTTCCACCCGTTCACGAGGAAATCGGTGGTGACACACGGACAAGAGAATGGTCTTATAATGGTACCTTTTTTTACCTTTTCAGGTACGGAACCCTAAAATCCAAAAATACTAACGCACGGTTTCCCAAACACCGATCATCGTGGGAATTAACCAATCGGCTGTCAAACGGCGTTTCAAATGTCGTTTGAGTTGCCAAAATGGTGTCTAATCTCTCCGAATTGATCAGAATTATTTTCTTAATGATGCGAATGATCAATTGAAATAGTTTAACCATCATTTTTTCGACTCAAACGACATTTGAAGAGCCGTTTGACAGCCGATTAGTTAATTCCCACGATGATTGGTAAATCGTAAGTATTTTTTATTTTATTTCATGCGAAAAGTTGTCAAACGAGCACACGGTTCACCTGATGTTAAGCGAATACCGCCGCCCATGGACATCTGGCACACCCGAGGGTTGCAGATTCGTTGACAACCTTTTGAAAATTGGGCTCCGGCTACCTCACTCACCAGACGAAACGCGAAAGTATTTGTCATACTTCCACTTTACGCCGATCTTCTGTGAGCTCGTGGTACTCACCCGGACGGGCCTGCCCACTCGTGCAACAGCCGAGGCTGCAGCGTGGCTCTGCCACCGTTAAAGTACTTACCAGTATCAGGCGTGAGACACACACACACAGACTTTGAACAGAGCGATAAGGATCGGGGATATACAGTCCGGCCGCCGTCTAGTGTCACTGAGCCGCGGCCGATACTAACTGGTCTGCAGCAGGTAGCCCAGCGTGCGCTGGTCGACCGGGAAGTGGGCCACCGTCGCGCCGAACTCTGGACACATGTTGGCCACCGTGGCGCGGTCCGCTATGCTGAGGGCGGCGACGCCCTCGCCGAAGAACTCGACGAACTTGCCCACCACGCCGAGCGAGCGCAGGTGCTGCGGATGGAATAGAACGGTGGTGTTGGTGACGGTGACGGTGATTGTGGAGTCGGTGACGATGACGATGAAGAAGACGACGAAGAAGGCAGAGAAAACGGAAACGACAAAGATGAAGACAAAGACGAAGACGAAATTGAGGACGGTAATGAGGACGAAAACGAGGAAGAAGACAAAGAAGAAGACAAAGACGAAGATGAAAACGGGAACGAAGACGAAGACGAAAACGCGAACGAAGAGAAAGCGAAAACGAAAAGGAAGCTGAAGACGGAGACAAAATTGAGGACGAAGATGAAGACAAAGACGAACACGAAAATGATCAGGAAAACGAAGAAGAAGAAACCGAAGACGTGGACAAGGACGAGTACGAAGATGAAGATGAAGATGAAGACGAAGACCAGGACCAGGACCAGGATTAGAAAGAAGACCAAGAAGAAAACGAAGACAGAGGAAAAGACAAAGACGAATGCGACGGTGATTATAAATAAGACGGCGGTGTTGAGTTTCTTGACGGTCTCTTCTTTCCTAACCGGTGGTGACTTACTTTCGAAGTAAGTCAGTTCGTACTTGTGTTTCAATTTTTATCTAAATATCGACGTTGAATAACAATGCGCAAGGGTATATTTCAATAAAGATATTTTGAATTCGAGTATAATAATATTTTATATATATATATATAGGATATATGTACTTGAATCGAAAAATATAAAATATAAAACCCTTCACACCAGTCATCTGCGAGTTGAAATATTTTTTTTTTGCTATTGTTTCACAAAACTAAATAAAAACTTTAAAAATATAATACTGAATAAAAGAGTTGTAATGGTAATACATACCAAAACCCGCCAGCTCAGTTACTACTGTCTACTGACTACTGACTAAGTCTACTCACTAACCAAAGGATTTACCTGCTATCGGAATCCAATGGACCAGGAGTCCAGAACTGCATAGAACATCACGCAGACCTACACCTGATATGGTACACCTGAAACCCACCTTGGTGATGGTGAGCACCAGATCGGTGGACGTGGCGAGTGGACTGAGCTCCCCCACCAGCTTGTAGCCGACGACCTTCGGCAGCAGCATGCTGATCGCCTGGCCCAGCATAACGGCTTCCGCCTCGATTCCTGGAAACGGATAAGCGAAGGTCCAAGGATCTAATGCGGTCAATACCCATTGCGCCAGAGAGTGCGGGTTCGATCCCATATACTGGAGAAATATTGTGCGATGATCACAGTTCTTTCCAGTGTCTGGGTATTTATACATGTATAATATGTATTTATTTACAAAGTAAAAGTTTAGTTTAACTTGCAACTAGGGAATGTTGTGTAGAAATGTATCCTGAATTAAAGGGTAAAGTAACAGCCTATACATGTCCCACTGCTGGGCAAAGGCCCCCTCTATACAGAGGGTATCAGGGCATAGTCCACCGCGCGGCCCCACTGCGGATTGGCGGACTTCACATATCTTCGAAATATTTTTGTTTTGTTATTATTTCGAAAATATGCTGGTTTGATGTTTTCCTTCACAGCGGAGCAGGTGATAAGTCAGCAATTAAAGTTGAAAACTTCATTGGTGCCGGCACCGGGGATCGAACTCGGGTTGCTCGAGTATATTGAATTAAAGGCGAGCGCCCGGACACTGAGCTATCACGGTCTTCACATATCTTCGAAATATTTTTGTTTTGTTATTATTTCGAAAATATGCTGGTTTGATGTTTTCCTTCACAGCGGAGCAGGTGATAAGTCAGCAATTAAAGTTGAAAACTTCATTGGTGCCGGCACCGGGAATCGAACTCAGGTTGCTCGAGTACATGGAATTAAAGGCGAGCGCCCGGACATATATTTTAATAACTAAGTATTTGTAATTAGACATTCCTTATACAAATTTCGTAACACCGTCCCCACCAAGGTATTCCAGCAGGAGAGAGGAGGATTTCAACAATCAGTAAATTGACCAAATTGAGATCAAGGTGCTTTCATTACTACGGGCCACATTTATAGACCTGACATCACCAGACTAGGCTTTTTTCTTTTTTTGTGTGAAAATTTGCCAAGCGAGCTGGCGGTTCACCTAATGTCAAGTGAATACCACCTCCCATGGACATCTGCTACACCCGAGGGTTTGCAGATGCGTAAACAACCTCTTGAAAATTGGCCACCTCACTCACCAGACGAAACGCGAAAGCATTATACTTCCACTTGACCCCGGTCTTCTGTGGGGTCGTGGTACTTACCCGGACGAGCCTGCCCACTCGTGCAACAGCCGAGGCTGCTGCGTGGCCCTGCCACCGCACTACTGGGACGGTGCTGGGCCCGTACTACTAGGTATCTACTGGGACAGTGCCAGCTGGTCACCGCTAGGCCTCAGTCTGTACCCACCACCAACTCCCCACCCGACCACACCCAGCCCGTTGATCATGGTAGTGTGGCTGTCCGTGCCCACGACAGAGTCAGGGTAGAGCATGCCATTGGTGAAGACGACACGAGCGAGGTACTCCAAGTTGACCTGGAACCAGAGCAGGTATATGTACTGATATGTGTATTTTTCTTAATTTTGACTCGGAACAAACATTTTTAAATAATCTCAAGTATTATCTCAACATTGGATAATGAATGATATGCATACAGAGATTTTATACATATAGCGTGTCGTTACAACCGCGACAATAAATGACCACACGTCTAACACTACTTGCCAATAATCATAAAAATATAAACATTAAAAAAACCCATGATTAAAAAAAAAACAATTTCAAACAAACTAATTAAATAAAAAAGAAACAAAATTTATAACATCCTATACAACTACAACTGCGCCACAGCTTGCTTTTTCATTCCTCTCCTTCTAACAGTATGTTTTGTCTCTTTTAAATTCATTCAACCCATTCATATGCTTTGTGTCCTTTACAAATGAACTTCATATTACAGTTTTATACTCAAGGATGTTCTAAAATTGTTTCTTTGGGAAAATTTAGTAACTTGGTAAATATTGATGTTTAAAGAATGTAAATGTTTAATACAATTTTAAAAAATTATCCTCTATATGTGTGTTCAATTTATTGTCGCTGTTGTATCGACACGCTGTATATGTGAACGCGTAAATGAATAAAAGATTTTAGTGCAAAATTTGAATGTGAGGCCATTTGCTCAGGGCATTATCATTATTTCACTGTAGTAGGGCCAAGCAAGTTCTTCTCGTCTTTGCTTTTGCACTAATGGGCGGGTCCGTCCGGGCAAGTACCACAACCGGAATCAACAAGTGGAAACAACACAATGTAACAAAAAAAAAAAACAAATAGAAACAAACAAAACAAATGGAAGTGTTCTGTGAAGGGTGACCGGGGCCAACTTCATTAAAAAGTGGCAACGCATCTGCAACCCTACGGGCGTTGCAAATGTCCATGGGGGGCGGTTGTCACTTAACATCGGGTGAACCACCAACTACAACAACACCAACAAACCAACATCACAATACACCCCGTATTTGTTTAATCATCATTACAAAAATATATACATCTTTATAAACTTCTGTATGTGTGTGTATGTCACTGAACTCGATTTTAATGAGATTTTTTGTGTGTGTTCTGATCGATTTCAGAGTGGTTTAGATTCACAATTCGTTTTTTTTTTAATTTATAATTTGTCGGATGTAAGTCGCGTGTACAGGACAACGTCTGTTGTGTCCACTAGTTATAGGTAAAGATGGACTTAAGACCATCATCATTACATAATGAAATATCCTTCATCTCATCATGAATTGATATTTATGTGTATGTATATTTATATTATTCTAATACATTTTTTTTCTAATTTTAATATATTATATTAATATATGTACTTTATGTATATTTATATAAAAGTAAGTAAAGTAACAGCCAATACATGTCCCACTGCTGGGCAAAGGCCTCCTCTATACAGAGGGTATATTTATATACATTTATGTATATGTCCAGCTTTTATATAGGCAGTACATATATAAATACCCTTAAATATATATAAACAAGTAAATAAATAAAAGATTAGGGAAGTTCATTTGTTGGACTTTATAAAGAAATAATAAATGTGATTATTTTTTAGATAATAAGCTAGTATGCACTCAAAATGTAAAAATATAGATAGTAATATTATGCAAATACAGTTTATAAATAATTTATTATTACAAGGTGTACTCACTTGATGCACTATACCGGAGCCCGGTGGGACTATCAACATGTTGTCGAATGCTTGTGCTCCCCACTGAAATGTATGATAATGTCTTGAATACATATCTTGAAATTAATAGTACCTACACTACGAGTTATATAATAAAGTTGGCTGTAACTAACTGGCAATAAACAATTTTCTAAAGCATGCCTATATTTAACTATTAACAAAGAGGTAAAAGCGTTAATATAATAAATTAGCAACAGTCCTAGGTATAAATAAAAGAAATTCAAAGTACTTTCAAGGAAATTATGTTCTTTGTTTAGTCTTTAAGAAGTTAGCAGCGGTTTGTTAAATTAAAAAACAACTGGTCTAAGTAACAACTATATCTGTATTTTGTGTGGAAGGGATTGGGTAGTAAGTCCCAATAACTACCTCGACCTAGAAGATCTATTGAAGTTTTCCATTCAAATAACTCTTACTGCAGTATAACATTATCCAATGTTGTAAGGTTATATTACATACATACATTTCCCGTGGACAAACACCCAAATCCAATACAATTGTCTATGGGTCATAAAAATAGTTGTCTCGCGTGGGAATCGAACCCACGACACAAGCGCCGAAACCAATACTTTAGCCACGGAGTCATTTGAGAAAGGACTAAATTCAAATGCAGAACATTTACCAACTTTATTCTCATCTTTAAAAAAAACCAAGGGTTCTGCCACACCTCGAGTCAAATACATAAAATGGTTGATAAATACCGACCTTCAGGAATTGGAACCTCTCCTTGTTCCTCTGAAACTCCAACTCCTGGTTCTTATTCAAAGCGTCCTCTCTGGAATGGACAAGTTGTTTTCATTTTAATTACTTCACTTAATAAACTTGACCCTTGCTATAGAAGAATATCACCCAGACGTTTCAATTACTGCACAGTGCCAGTTTTTTTTTTTTATTTATTTTGTTCACAAACTGAATGCTACATTTCAATAAAATTTTATGAACAAAATAAACATCTAGATTCTAATATATGTGCATTCTAAAAAGTAAACAAAGCATGCGTGAATGTAGAAAACAAATATTTGCATGACCTATAAACAATTGCTGCCAGTCTGGATTTAGTTCAGGGGCTCGCCTTTGATTTAATGTACTCGAGCAACCCGAGTTCAATCCCCGGTAACGGCATCAATGAAATTTTTAATTTCAAGTGCTGACATGTGCTCAACGGTGGAGGAAAACATCGCGAGGAAACCTTTTTGGAAATAATGACAAAAAAAATATTTCGAAGATACGTGAAGTCCGCCAATCCGCAGTGGGGCCACGTGGTGGATTATGCCCTGATACCCTCTGTAAAAGAGGAGGCCTTTGCCCAGCAGTGGGATTAGTATAGGCTGTTACTTTACTATTTATAAACAAAACCTATGCAACACACAATATTAATAAAATCTTAGAGTTGGGGTATTTAAGTAAAGGAATATATACAGCGTGTCGTTACCATCGCGATAATAAATGAACACACATATAGGGGATAACTTTTTAAAGTTGTATTAAACATTTAAATTCTTTAAACATCAATATTTACAGAGTTATTAAATTTTCCAAAACAAAGAATTTTAGAACATCCTTACCTATAAAAGCGTAACGTAAAATTCATTTGTAAAGGTCACAAAGCATATGAATGGGTTGAATGAATTTAAAAGAGACAAAACATACTGTTAGGAGAGGCTTGTAATACGACGCTGGGGTGCGAGGTGTATAGGATGTTACAAATTTTGTTTCTTTCTTACTTAATTAGTTTGTTTGAAAAATGTTTTTATTTTACTATGGATTTTGTTTAACGTTAATATTTTTTTATGATTATTGGCAAGTAGCGTTAGACGTGTGTTCATTTATTGTCGCGATGGTAACGACACGCTGTATATATGGATAACCGGCACTCACGTCCTGGCAAAGTCCACCTGCACAGAGTGATCTATCACCAGATCGGCTGGGCAGATGGGGTTGATCTTGTCTGGGTCCCCACCGAGCTCTTTGACCGCGTCCCGCATCGCTGCGAAGTCGACCACGGCCGGTACACCAGTCAGGTCCTGGGGGCGAGCACGGCTTTTCAATTTTTAGGACCCCTGAAGACGTCTAGAGGCTCCTCGTACTGACGACAAATAAACAAGGAGAAATATCTAATGTTTCCACAGAAAGTTTGGAACAACAGAAGAGGAAAGTTAAGATACCAAAACTTGTGCAACGGTCAAGCGGAACTTTTACAAAACTCATTGGACTTTATTATATAGTGTGTTCAGTAGAACTAAGGTGATCGACATGTGGTAGGGCCACGCAGCAGCCTCGGCTGTTGCACGAATGGGCAGGCTCGTCCGGGTAAGTACCACGACCTCACAGAAGACCGGCGTAAAGTGTAAGTCTAGTACTTTCACGTTTCGTCTGGTGAGTGAGGTGGCCAGAGGCCAATTTCCAAAAGGTTGTCGACGCATCTGCAACCCTCGGGTGTAGCAGATGTCCATGGGCGGCGGTATTCACTTAACATCAGGTGGACCGTCTGCTCGCTTGGCAACTTTTCGCATAAAATAAAATAAAAAATACTTGCGATTTACGATAAATAAAAAAAAATATATGAAATGGTGATCCAAGTAGCGTCCCTATAAGAGTACGGGCATCACCTGGAGGATGACCCTCGCCGGTTTGAAGGAGATCTCGACTCCCCCCTCCACCGCCTGGTTCTGTTCCCAGTTGAGGACATTCTGGACGTCCTTCTCGAGGACCTGGAAGTTGTCGCAGTTCCGCACGCACGACTCCAGCAGCACCCTGATGCTGAACGGGAGACGCTCTGCAAACGAACAGTTGGCATTTGGCGAAGAAGAAAATTGAAGCCTGTATTTTTTTTAAGTGAGCAAGTGGCAAACGAGCAGGTGGTCCGCCACCACATTTGCAACACCCTTAGGGTTGCAAATGTGTTGCCACCTTTTAATAAAGTGGGCCCCGGCTACCGGTTCATATCACGATCATTTACACACTTATTTTTTTTACTTTTTTTTCTATACCCGTTCATTTTCTTTATTTTTTATTTTTTTATTTACAAAATACATGATTTACCAAAAAAAAAACGAGCAAAGCTCGGTCCTCCAGGTACTGTATTATTAATCGAGGTTTGTGAGTACAAAAGCAACCGCATTTTGCCGTGTTATACCAATAAACCGTATTTTGGTATTTCTATTCTGCGTGGGTTGGGTAGTAAGTCCCCTGACTACTACGCCCTAGAAGATATATTGTAGTCTAACCTTCGATAACATTGCCCCCTTACTGTGGGATAACATTATCCTGTGTTACATAAACTTCACATGGACAAACACCCAAATCGGACACAACTATCCATGGGCCCCACAGATAGTTATCTCGTGTGGGGATCGAACACACGACCCCCGATGCCGAAGCCAATACCTTGGCTGCGCCACGGAGCGATCGATAAGTTATAAAGCCTAGACTTTTAAAGGGTTGTAATATTTTTTTTTATTTATAAGTTGTCAGATTTAAGTCGCGTGTACAGGACAACTTGTGTTGGGTCCGCTAGTGCACAGTTAAAATTGTCGAAAATTCCGCTTCCAGTATTCGAACCCGCGCCTTCCATTACGCGTGTAGACGCTCTAGCCACTGAGTTAAGCGGTCGACGTCCCCACCGCGCAAAAGTCGACGTCTTATCTTTTTTTCTTAAATTTCATTTGGGGCAACGGTTGGCGTTATCTATGGCTATTGCTTTCCTACCCAGCAGAATATTAATAGTCGAGTATAGTGAACTAGTATACACTAGTACAACGTTTTATTAAGAAAAAACTTAAACGACTTCGAGAGCCGTGACAGCTCAGTGTCCGGGCGCTCGCCTTTAATTCAATATACTCGAGCAACCTGAGTTCAAGAGTTCAAGTATAAACAATTTAAATTTCTAAAAAAAAAGCAATGGCGACATCTCTCGTTCGAATTATCGTTGTAAAACGATATTCGAAATTGTTTGTATGCTGGACAGGATATAACAATAGATGACGCCAAGCATTGCTTCAAATGCTAAGAAAACAATGTAGAAGAATGCGTTAAGATTTTCGTCGGTGTGGCAATCAGCCGTTTAGCTCAGTGGCTAGAGCGTCAGGCCGCGAATGCCGAAAACGTGGGTTCGATTCCCACAGCGGCGACAATCTTTTCGCACTTTTTCTACATATTTTAAAGTTTAATGTTAATTAAGTAAGCTAGCAGAAACAAATGTGTTAATGTACGCGTATAGTCTTATATCCGTAGTCGAAATAAATATTGAAGAAAGCAAAACCCGTCCCAACTGTTTCAAAAGCGATTATGGCAATATCGTTATACATTACTGCAACTACTACACTGAGATGGTAAAAAAAAATTTTTCAATTCTTCCCCAAAAAATTTCAAATGTTGAACGAAAAAGTCAAATCGTTGTAATTACAACGAAAAAACAATAGTTTCCATGTTAAATGAATGGGAAACTAAAATACAAATAGAGACTCATAAACTTAAAGTTACCGCAGATTAGAACTTTTCATTTGAAAAAATCTTTTGCCCGCCAAGATTTTTTCACCTTATATTTTGGAAACAGTCAGGAATTCATCATCATTTCAGATGTTCAGAATAAAGAAGTAGGTATATTTTTTAATTCCTTTTTTATTGAGGTCAATATTGGCACAAAAGATAAAATTAAATTGTAATGAGTGATAAACGCGAGCTTTGCAATCAACCCAATTTCTTTAATAGTAATATGATAATGTGTTAATACGGAGTAAAGAACTTACCATATTTACTTCCTAGAGCTGAGAGATCGTAATATTTGAATGATTTGCCGCCAATCTGTATGTCTTTTAGCAGTTTTTCGTAGGGCTTGCTGGTTGCTGAAATAAAGGATTAAATAAATATTTTAATTTATGAGAAAAGGTGGCAAACAGACCAAGTATGGGGTTGCCAAACTTTTCAATAAAAAACCGTTCCAGTGCGAGTCGAACTCGTTCGCCGCGAGGTCAGTACCTACCCATTATACCACCATAATAAAATTGGTAAATAATCAACACCAATTTTCTCAGGAACGGATGGCAAGTTGAAATTTAAACCAAATACTAAGACCTAAAGTGCCTATTAGGTGTATAAAAATCAAGGATCTGAGTCAACACAATAAAAAGATACCGGCAAATTTGTACATACCAAAATTTACCTTAATTTTCAACTTCAATTTCGACACAAGAATAGATTGGATAAAGAAAACAGTGTATAAGATCAGAATGATGAGAAGGACATTGGAGAAGACGATTTATTGTCAAATGAAGATTCTTTGTTTACATTTAAAGTGGGAAGATAAGTAAGATGGAGTGGACAAGGAATCCGGGAAAGAATAAAGTGTGGTCAGCGCTCTAAAAAGAATGTCTTTGACAAATAGGTAAACATTGTATTATGACCGATAGGTAGAATTGGTCGTATTTATGAAGATTGAAGACAAAAAAAATGTTATTCAGAAGTCGGTCAAGTTTATTGAGCTGATCTGCATTCAGGTTGGAGTAGCACATGTTATATTCCAGTACTTTGACATTATTCTAGCCTTTATTTCTATTCTTGGCACGCTTGCCAGTTAATGACTAACAACTACTACTACTATAACAATCAACATGTCTGTGAGGGAGGCCTATGTTCAGCAGCAGATTCAAACAGGCTTAAATGATGATGATGAATAAACTCCCTTCTGTAGGAAGACTCCAATTACAGAAATAAAATTACAGATTTATTCAGTAACCTTTTTAAGATATTTCTTTATAGTATGGGATTTTAAATATTGCAAATATTTTAGAATATTAATTAACTGACAATTTATTAAGTTTACTGAGTGAAACATGAGAAGGCCTTGTCACCCACAGCCACAACAAAAAGGTAAAGAGCAACTAGTGAACCATTGTTGAATGCTTTACAACAATTTTTTTTTATTTATTTATATATAAAATAAATAACCTGTTGGTATCTTTCTTGATGAAAAGCATTGCGAACCAATTTTATCTCTTAAAAACAAAACCTTTGTAAGGAATAAAACATGTAATCTTTTTGACATTCCTACACATTCCAAATTTGGATTAGTGGTCACAGTGAAAAAGTTGTTATATATTTTATTTTGACAAGTCAAATATGTTATGATTTGTAACTTTTCATCAGCTTTATTATTTACAACCAAGATTCACATATTTTAGTGAAAAACATTTAATTTCCAACTGTTTATTTAACCTGCTTAATGAAGACAGCATAAATTTCATATCAAACATAACTTGTTTATATGATGAAATAGTCTTATCAATAAAATTTGTAATTAATAGATAAACTTAGATATCAAATAAATTACGTAAAGCTATGGAAATTAGAATATGTATCTAATTGGGAAAAATTCTTGTACTACAACAAAATTTGCATACGAACTAGAACTCTAACGCAACAAGTTACGGCCTTCAAAGTTACTTTTCGAGCGCCGGAGCGCCGGGAAACATTAAAATATATATTAATGAGATCAAAGGTTAGACGGAATAAATTTGAAAGGTAGCAACTAAAAATGTAAGCCCTTAATTTCAAATGCTTATTTAATTCGTGAAGTTATTAAATTCAGGTATGCAGACGTATCATGGTAATTCCTTATTTTACAAATATGTGAACACAGAGTGTAAAAGTCGATATTGGTACGAGAGATAAAGATAACTGGCCAAAAAATTATGCTCACAAATGAATTATGAATTTTAAAAAAAATATATAAATACAAACCTGCCATAGCGTTCGACTCAGCAGTCACGTAGCCAATAAACGGCAGGGACAACGTATCAACTACTAGTTATTAACGGTTAATTGAAAACAATCGGTTCCAGTACACAGAACTTAAGTCAACAACACTTATCCACGTTGTACTGGACTACTGGCACCTATTAATTTGGAAATATGTACGGAAATAATACTAGATAAAAAAAATAAAAAACGCAATGACAGGTGTCAATCACATTCATTGATAAGAAAAGATTTACATTGTATCATTCATAATGTCTTATCAGGTAACTGCTAATATAAAAATGAGAACGTCATTAAATTTTTGCTATGCATTTTATGAGGATTAAAATGAAGTCTATTGCGTAAACTTTTTTAGGATAAAAAAAAAATCAAGTTCATAATTATCAATTAAATTGTAACGTTAAACGTTCTTGAAAGATTTTTAAACGAAAATTCGACTAAGTTGTACACTCGGAATCAAAGATCTCGGAAAAATTATAAAAATAACGAAGAAGTCCTTTCTGTATTTTGAAGTGGTGCACTAAGTAAACGATTAAAATGAATAATTTTAAAATTTAGGCAAGGAATAAAAAAGGAATAGAAACTGCTAAACCTTGCCTCGGTAATTTAATTTGAAGTCAATATTTTTTTATGTGTAATTGCTGTTAGTTTGTTAGCCTGACATCTTTGACAAAAGTATCATTGAAAGAAATCTACACTCGGACGACCCACGAACTGAAGAAAACCCGCTACACTGTATATCCATGATCCATGTTTTCGAAAGTAGTTCAATACGACTACCTTGTTCTGCACGACATAACAATCACACAATTAAACATGACTGTTTTACAGATACACGACTTTCTGAACTTTCATTGCGTTTAGTGTAAATTATGAGCGGTTTATAATAACTCGAGTTTTGTTGCGATTCGAAGAAAGCACCCGCTCCTGGGGCAGGGATGGAAAGGGGTTCGTTGACCTTGTTCTTTTTTTTTTATAACAAAAACATTGGCCTTACCTGTAGGATGACATCATGTAACATTAGGAGTTTTTACATACATAAATTTCACGTGGACAAACACCCAAATCCGAAAAATATATTCGTGGGCCGCACAAATAGCGGTCGCGTGTAGGATTGAACCAACGACCCCCGATGCCGAAGCTAGTACCCCGGCAACTGCACCACAGAGTAATAGAGGCGACGAAAACTATTGATTTGCTTTTGAGCGCTGTCAGAACTAATTATTAACTACCTAGTTACATACCTATATAAACCAGTTTATATCAACAACATTTAAAAAAATAAACATATTTTAAAATCAAAGCAAAAACACTGGACATGTTTTAATATTTTATTTATTTATTTATTTAGGCCTACGGTTTAACCGTAATAGCTCAGTGTCCGGGCGCTCGCCTTTAATTCAATTTACTCGAGCAACCTAAAATCGTCGGTGCCAGCACAAATAAAATTGTTTATTTTAAGTACTGAATTATCATGTGCTGGGTGATGAATAAAAATATTTTGAGGAAACCTGCATATTTTCGAAATATAATAACATTAAAAAATATTTCGAAAATGAAGTTTGATTTTCATCTTAAATGCGATAACTAACACTAAAAATAAAAATAAAAATGAACAGCAAAGCTACATCTTTAGTTTTAGAATATTTATTGTAAAAAATGTAATTTGATAAACACACTTGCCGTACAGGGAGCACATATAACGCCAAGATTTGTTACAAAAGCAATAAGTACATAGGTAATCAAAGTCGATACGACGTTGAGATTTTTACGCAGTGAAGAATATCGACCCCTCTGCTTAGTGGCTATAGCGTCTGGATGTCTGCCGGAAGGCGCAGATTTGAATCCTGGTAAAGGCGAAAAATTTTCGACATTAACGCAACAGTGCTCTCATGGTAGCGTTAAACGTTTAACGCAACCTTGTTAGAAGTTGCATTAGAAATTTCACTTCAAAAAAAAGTCTCTCTATTCTCTTTGTGAAACCAGAAGCATCATACAACAAACACTATCAAGTCGAACGATCTACTTAATTTATTCGATAAATCGATATTTCAACTGGTCTCGATTTATGTTTTGTCTCGACCAGACTTGTCGTCTTGTCAGTTTGACTAATGTTTTGACACCCCTAGAGAAATTATTGAATTGAAAAATAAATCCGTTGCGATTGATTCGGTGTTTTTAGGTTTATATTGAAAGTACGCACAATTAATGAGAAATGACATCGTTCGATTTAAATTCGATAAATGCAGCGCTAACAGACTCTGGGGTGCCGGAAAACGGTGTTGACTTTTCCGGAAAATCGCTTAAATTGGACACCGAAAAAGATGGTAAGTTCAAGTTTTAACTTAAAATTTCACATTTTACTCTACAAATTTACCAAAGAATTTGTTTATATTTTAAAATACCCGCGCTCCAGCTAAAATTGTTTAAATATAATGTAAGCTTCGTTTGCCGCATAACCTTTTTGTGCATTAGTCAACTATTTTAACTTTCAGTAATTGTTTCATGAATTAAACAATTACTGAAAGTTAAAATACAATAATTTGTAGTTTCAAGTCAATAGGTCAAATACCATGGGTGCTAAACCGAATTTTATTTCTTCATAAATGACAGTTCTGAGGTAACAAACAAGAAAAAGCATACAACCAAACACGCATCAACATCCTTTTTTGAAGTCGGTTGAATACAATAATCGCATATATCTACAGTCCCTTAATTTCTGTTACCAAATTTCAGCTCAACCGATTGTTGATGCGATCAATGCATGTAAGCACTTGCATTACCTCGCACTCACAGGCAACACGCTCGGTGTTGCGGCTGCGGAAGCTATTTCCAAGGCATTAAAAGGCCACCCCGAGTTGAAGATAGCAAGGTTCTCAGACATGTTCACCGGGAGAATGAAGACAGAGATCCCGCCAGCCTTGGTGAGATGCTTTTTTTAACTGGAAACTGGCCAGTGCCTGATTATTGTCTCACCTGATTATAAGTAAAGGTGTAATCTTGATGATAAGTGCACTACTTGAGTAATACCCTATCTTAGTCATATTATAATTGGATGGGAATATTGATATTGGCCTTTTTGCTCAGATAAATGGTCTTGTCATCATAAACCAGGCTATAATAACGGTCAGTGAATTCATATCAGCTGCTTAGCTTAGTGGTAAGTGTCTGAACATAGTGGTTCGAATCCCACAGCTGGGAGACTTTTTTTTTTCACCATTATTTTTTTTACCATTATTGTATATTCCTTGCATACCAAGTTTGCATGCAATGCATGTTTGGTATGCAAGGAAATGCTAAAAAGATTAAACAATGAGTAATGGTGCATTGGTCTTTCAGAGTGCACTGGGAGAAGGTATGATTACGGCAGGAGCGCATCTAACAGTGCTGGAGCTCAGCGACAATGCTTTTGGGCCCATTGGCGTTGAGGGGCTGACCAAATTGTTGCAGAGTGACGTCTGCTCACAGTTGGAGGTTTGTTAATTGCAGTGAAAGGGGATTCGCCACTAGATGGAGTGATGACCTGTGTAAGTGTGTGGAAAGTTGATGGATGCAGGTGGCTCCGAAACATGCTTTGTGGCAGTCTGTGGCGGAGGCTATGTACAGTAGTGGACTCTGATAGGCTGAAATGATGATGATTATAGTTGCTGCTCACATGATTTGATTCACCATAATAAATCATATGATTGTCTAGCTCAATGACTTGGGTGGTCACTTAGTCAAGTTGTATTATCCACAAATGTCTGTTTGCGTTTAATGTTTGTGAAATCTGGCACATTTGCAATTCATCTAGCATAACAAATCTCCCTGATGGTAATCTTAGCATCTGTAGAACTGCTTGCTTAAGCATTATAAATATTATTTATTTTTTAAATATAACCTTTATTTTTTATATATTTAAATACAACCTTCCTTTATAAATATTTTTTTTCATAAACACAACATTCTATTGTTTCTGATTTTTAAGCGATATTTTCTTATACCAAATGAAATGTTTAAATAAGACCCTTGTGCTAGTGTTCTTTGTTCCACCCTCATCCTCACGTTTCTATGACTGCTCGATATACAAATAATTTTTATTTTTAAAATATACAACAGAACTGTGGTGACAGACAACTATTTGTGTGACCCATTGACATATGTTTCAAATCTGGGTGTTTGTCCATTTGAAATTTATGTACATAATTATGTAAAACTTCCTTACAAAACGGGATAATGTAGGCCTACAGTAAGGAGGCTAATTTTTTAAAAATTAGTACACATTAAGTATTTATTATTATGTAATTAGCTGCTGATTGTGCTTCGTGGTAGTCTGTGGGGAGGCCTATGTACAACAGTGGACTAACAGGCTTAAATGATGGTGACGATTGCTGCTTAAATGGTTTGATTCACCATAATAGGTCATATAATTTTGTAGATCAATGGGGAGTTCGATGTTCAACAGTGGACTCGAACAGACTGAAATGATGATGATGATATTCAATGGTGGAAGGGCCACACAGCATCCTCAGCTGTTGCACGAATGGGCAGGCTCATCCGGGCAAGTACCACGACCTCACAGAAGACACGCCTAAAGTGGAAGTATAATACTTTCGCGTTTCGTCTGGTAAGTGAGGTGGCCGGAGCCAAATTTCCAAAAGGTCGTCAACGCGTCTGTAACCCTCGGGTGTAGCGGATGTCCATGGGCGGCGGTATTCACTTAACATCAGGTGAACCGTCTGCTCGTTTGGCAACTTTTCAAAAAAACATGATAAAAATGGCTCCCAACTCGCATAAAATCCAGGAGCTGCGTCTGAACAACAACGGGCTGGGCATCACGGGCGGTCGGCTGCTGGCGAACGCGCTGGCGGCCAAGCCGAGGAAGCTGAGGGTCTTCATCGCCGGCAGGAACCGCCTGGAGAACGAGGGGGCCAGCGCCCTCGCGCAGGTTTTCAAGGTGAGAGGTCCGACATTGCTTCCTCTACCAAGTGTTGTAATTATCAGGGATTCATTATCTGTATTTCGCTTAACCATCTTCGATTGTATCGGCCGAATGAGGATGTATTCTTTTAATGTAAGTCTTAAAACGTTCACATTTTCTCTGCCCTCGTTTTATAAAGGAAATTTTAGACAATCGCTACCGGTATCCAAAATATTAGGTTTTACTCTTACAGTGCAGAAGTTGGCGGAAAGTTCGGTTGCCGATATTGTTTTTTTGAACGTTAAAAAATGATAATATAAATTTCGGAGAATAAAGTAGATTTATTTCTTGCACTATATAAATGTTCATAGGTATTTCTGTTCATAGTAGAATACTCATTTTATATTTGGGGGAAACACGAGATAAACAGTATAACTGATTGGCGCAGTTACTGAGTTGTACTGCGATTGGGCTGAATTATATATTAATAAGTATTGGGCGGGATTCAATTCCCAAACAGGATAAGTTTTTAATTTTCATCTATTGTGTGTAAAATTTAAATAAATATACTTATTACATTATTATAGGGTACTTTGCGTTTAGTCTGATGAATGTGACTTTTAAAGGCTGTCAACACTGCACATGTGTTGCGGGGTGTCCATGGGCAGTAATAAAAAATGTCACTTATCCAGGCAAATTGTCTAATTCCAGGATATGGGCACACTGGAGGAGATCGCGATGCCCCAGAACGGCATATACCATGTGGGTGTGTCCGCACTCTCCAAAGCGTTCGAGCACAACCCGAATCTCAGCTGTCTAAACCTCAATGACAACACCATTGGAGTGAAAGGGGCCGCCGCCATAGCTGCGGCCATGCCGAAGTAAGCCTTACCATTATCATCGGGTAACGATTCGATTCCTGGTGATCTGTAGACGGGTTCAGATTTTGAGATCACAACTGGCAATTTTACATAAATATAATCGGCAGTTTGTTTTATTCAACCTTGACATTGGCAGAATCATCAAGCTATCCTTGATGGAGCCACTATAATAAAAAAAAAATATAATCGGCCGTTTTATTAGGGTTCCGTACCCAAACGGTAAAACGGGACCTTTTTTTTCCTACTATCGCTCCACTGATACGTCAGTGATTTTGCCAATGACAGTTGAAACTTTCACAGATGATGTATTTTTATCTGTTGCAGCTATAAAAACAAATACTAAAAAATAGAATAAAAATATTTTAGTGGGGATTCCATACAATTGACATGATTTTTTTTTTTTGCTGTTTTTGTATTGGTATTTAGTACCCATAGTATAAGTGATGCTTAGTTTGGGACTAGAGAATGTTTTGTAAAAAAATGTGTCTACAAATATTTTTATTAAAAAAATTAAACATTTAAATTTGTGCATGTTAAATGTATCTACAGCGTGAAATAGTCATCTTCTGTGGGGTTTAATGATTAAAGTAACCGTTTTTCTGCTCTCAGATTGAAGAATCTGAAATCAATCAACTTTGGTGACTGTCTGCTGAAGAGCAAGGGTGCCAAGACACTGGCTGCAGCGTTCAAAGATAACTCCATCTTGCTTGAGGTGAGAGGTTAAATCCGTCTTAAGTTTCCGTGACTTTTGCTATGCCATCTCAATTATTCCGGTTATGTATATTTATTTTGTATTTATCCGATTTTAATGTTGTACGCAACAGCTTAGGCTGTTATACTCCTGCGTTTCGTCTGGTGAGTGAGGTAGCCGTGGTCCACTGTACTATAAAGTGGCAACGCATCTGCCACCCTATGGGAGTTGCAAATGTCCATTCGCAGGGGTTATCACTATATCAGGCTCAGCTAGCAATCTGGCTACCTTCTCACATAAGAAAAAGATTTCGAAGATATGTGAAGTCCGCCAATCTGCATTGGGATGACGCCACATTAATAGGGCGTGGTCCACCCCGTAATTACGTAATCTATATACGGACTATGTAATCTTCTGAAATAATTAATCTAAAATAATAATATAAAATAAACCTAAAATAAATAATCTGTATATACAGGGAGGTTTTTTGAGAAGTGCCCAAATTTACACAGGAGGTTCAGACTCTGTAGTATAATCATTTATTGAAATAAAAAACAAAGATATGACATTCTATTCCCTAAAAAACAGAACGTGTTGACTATGCGGTAGTCATTCATAAATACCTAAATTTTACTGTGCATGAACTTGTGTGCGTGTTGGTTATGAATGATCGCTAGTAAAATAAACGAGTTGCGTATAAATCACGCACTTTTTATATAAATATGTTCAAATGAATGTAATTAATTGCTTAAGAGTGATTTTAAATAAAAAAAAGTAAAGTAATAACCTACACATGTCCCACTGCTGGGCAAAGGCCTCCTCTGTACAGAGGGTATCAGGGCATAGTCCACCACGCGGCCCCACTGCGGATTGGTGGACTTGAAAATATTTTTTTTTGTTATTATTTCGAAAATACGCAGGTTTCCTCACGATGTTTTCCTTCACCGCGGAGCACGTGATAAGTCAGCACTTAAAGTTAAAAACTTCATTGGTGCCGGCACCGGGGATCGAACTCAGGTTGCTCGAGTATATTGAATTAAAGGCGAATGCCCGGACACTGAGCTATCATCTATATTTTAAATATTTATCATTTTTTATACAACATTATTTATGTCTAGAATTTAATAAAAAAAATGGATACACTTAGAAAAGCCACCCTGTGTAATATTACCGTATACATTGAGCCCAATTTTCAAAAGGTTGTCAACGCATCTGTAACCCTCGGGTGTAGCAGATGTCCATGGGCGGCGGTATTCACTTAACATCAGGTGTACCGTCTGCTCGTTTGGCAATTTTTCACATAAAACATAAACATAACCTCTATATAAAATCAGTATTAATTATTTCAAAGATTGTTTTAGCGTTTTAAAGATTTGTTTTTCAGTTCTACCCCAACCGCCCCAAAAAGTTACACGCACTCAAGTTTTCTCCACTATCCTTTCAGTCGCTAGACATGAGCCACAACGAGATCGGGCACAGCGCTTGCATGGAGCTGGTGGACGCGGTGACAGCCCTGCCCGACGCTGTGGAGCGCCTCGCCCGAGTGTCACTATCAGGTCGATTGTTGCAACTCTCCGGCATGACACAAAAATACAAATACAAAAATGTTTATTTCATTAACATATTTCTTTTACAGTTAATAAATATTTGGAGCTACCTTTTAAGCAACAGTTTTGCTTGTGTTAGGCAGCACCGCTCTTCCTTAGCATACTTATAATAAACTTAACTAAGTGCAGTACAAATTTTTAATAATAACTAAATAAAATAAAATAATAACGTTTTCTCGCCGTGTGTGTGTATGTTAGTGTATGTGTTAGTGTGTGTGTATGTGTTAACTCAACATCAACTCAATATCAGCGTAATTTTTAGCTTTTAGCCATTCCATAACTGCAATTTTGCATTTTGAAATGATGTTACCAAATTTCCAAAAGGTCGTCAACGCATCTGCAACCCTCGGGTGTAGCGGATGTCCATTGGCGGCGGTGTTCACTTAACATCAGGTGAAACGTCTGCTCGCTTGGCAACTTTTCACATAAAAAAAAAGTGTTGCCATCAACTGTGATAGGGCCACGCATAAATCTTCGCTATTGCATAAATGAACAAATCCCATGACTTCACAGACCAGCGTGAGTTGTAGTGTAACAATTCTGCGTTTCGTCCCACGAGTGAGGTAGCTGGCACCCACTTTTTGAACGGTGCCAACGCATCCGCAACCCTGAGGGTGCTGCAAATGTCAATGGGCGGCGGTTATCACATAACATCAGATGAACAGCCCGTTAGCTTGCCACCTTCTCAAATTAAACAGGTGGCTAGATAGCTTGCGGCAATACGGCATAGCTTCGTAACACACCAACTGTTCAAAAATAATACTGGTAAAGAAATTCAAAAACACACTAAAATTCACTAGATTCAATCTAAAACTTCCTAAACGTTTCTCATTACCTCCTTAATAACGACTGTTATTGTAAATTTTCTCTTCTTTAATTTAGGAAAATTCCTAAGTTGGTATCCGTGGACCACCGCCCACGGACATTTCCAACATCCGTAGTTTTTAAAGTTCCGAAGGGTGAAACGGGAGCCGATTACTAAGACTCCGCTAACTGTCTGTCCGTCTGTCACCAGGCAGCATCTCTTGAACCGTGATAGTTACGACAGTTGAAATTTTCACAAATGTATTGTACAACAGAAATATATGTACAAATGTATTTCTGTTGCCGCTATAATAATAAATGCTAAAAAACAACAAAAATTATTTAAGGGGGGCTCTCATACAATAGACAAGATTTTGCCGTTTTTATAGATAATGATACGGAACCCTTCGTGCGCGAGTCCGACTCGCGCTTGGCCGGTTTTTTAACGTTCACTACATAGTAAAAACAAAGTCGTCCGCTGTCTGTCTGTCCCTATGTATGCTGAGATCTTTAAAACTACGCAACGGATCTTGATGCAGTTTTTTTTACTAGATAGAGTGATTCAAGAGGAAAGTTTATACGTACATTGCACCTCGCGCGCAACAATTGTCTGTCGGTCACAAAAATTACCCGCCATTCACACATATCCTCACCTATCCTACCACCAGCTACTATATGTAACCATGTCGTTTGTATCGACAGGCAACAACTTCGGCAGCGTGGACAACAAGAGGATCATGAAGGAGAAGCTGGGCCCATCGGCTGAATTCAGCGATGGGGAGTGCAGCGATGGGGAGCCGAGCGAAGGGGATGGTGAGTTTTTCACTTTTTATTATGTTCGAAGGTTGAAAACGGGCTGGCTGGCCTGATGTCAAGTGATAACCGCCGCCCGTGGAGATTGCCACACCTGTAGGGTTCCAGATAGGGTTGCCAACTGTTTTTGAGAAAAATAAAGTATCTCATATTTCAAGTAGAGAAAAATAAAATTTTTGATAAATCATAAAATATAATGTTTTAACTTAAAAGTATCGATAAAAGTTCAGTAATTATTCATATAGCTACATACATTGTAATTGTTTTATTTTATGCATCACAGTAAATATTGAAAATAGAGTATTTTCACATTTTTATGCAAAATTATAAAGTATCTTTACAAAAGATAAAGTACAATACTATTTTATAAAGTATGGTTGGCAACCCTAGTTGTAGATGCGTTGCCACCGTTTAAATAAAGTGGGCCCCGGCTAACCCACTCACCAGACGAAACGCAGAAATGTAACACTTCACGCCGGTCGGTCTGAAGGTTGTGGTACTTACCTGGACAGACCTGCCTATTTGTGCAACAGCAAACACTGTTACGTACCGGAGAAGAAGTGCCAAAATTGAAAGCATTCTTATTAAATTCACCCTCTTCTTTTTTGGCGGGACAGCAGTGAGTGAGGTGGCCGGGGCCAACTTTAGTGGAAGGTGGCAATGCATCCGCCACCCTAAGGGTGTTGCAAACTTTACGGGTGGTTATGACTTAACATAATTTGAACCTTACCATATTTTCACTAAAAAGATATATGGTATATCTTTTTAGTGAAAATATGGTAAGGTTCAAATGATAATTCGAACGAGAGATGTCGCCATTGCGACATCTCTCGTTCGAATTATCGTTGCCGTTTAGCTCAGTGGCTAGAGCGTCAGGCCGCGAATGCCGAAAACGTGGGTTCGATTCCCACAGCGGCGACAATCTTTTCGCACTTTTTCTACATATTTTAAATATTGTTTAAATTAAAATGTACCGCTGAGTTTCTTTCGCCTTTCTGAACCAGTGGTAGCGTTTTGACAGTCAAAAAGTAATCATATTGTATTGAATGAAGATATGTATCTATACATCTACACAGATAAATAAAATTGGAATGTCCGTTTGTAATATTAAAACAACCGCTTTTTACTAAACGCATATGGATGTATACACGGTGCATGTACCAAAATATGATTTTTTTTACAATTTTCCTCTGTCTGTCTTTATGTTTGTTCCGGCTAATCTCTGAGACGTCTGGACCGATTTTGACGGGACTCTCACTGGTAGATAGCTGATGTAACAAGGAGTAACATAGGCTAGTTTTATTTCATAAATTTCATTTATTTTCTTATCTGTAACATTATCGAACCATCGTAGGCGACGACGCGTACGATTCCGGTGCGGATGACAGCAACTCAGAAGACTCCACAGACTCTGCGGATTCCGAGGACAGCAAGCCGGAGGACGTCCAGCATCAGGGGCCCGTGGTGGTGGACATCACCAGCGAGATCGAGGAACAGTTCGAGGGTGATTTTTCTTTTTAATGTGACAAAGTGGCAAACCAGCCGGCGGTTCACCTGACGCTAAGTGATAACCGCCGCCCGTGGACGTTGAGATAAAAAAGCACACATTATTTCCAAAGCTACCTTTAATAGCGGAGAATTTTAATAAGGCATATATGTCACTGAATCCTTTGGTAAATACTTAAACTTAAACACTCCGCGTTTTAAGCAGTTACTGTGGAGTTAATAGTCGACTTGTCAACGTAATTTTTGTACCATGAGTTTATTGCACGTCAGACATTTATGGTCATGGTCTCTTCCATCCGATAAATTATGTCAATGCTGATTACAATTTGATTTGAAATAAAGGTGAAAAATTGTGCCCCACTGCGGGAATCGAACCCACGTCTTCTAGATTCGCGCCCAGTGCTTTATCCACTAAGCTACCTTTAATATCTGAACGTTCGTACGAAAAATACTCTTAGAAGTAAGTTTCGTAATAGTGAAATTTTGTTGATTATATTAAATCATAGACATAACATTTAAGTCTATCGTTTGATTTTAATTTCTTTTCATGTTTTGATTTTTCAATGTCCCTGCCTAAGCGGCCGATTGCCACACATTTTTTATACAAGTTTTAATGTTTCCTCTCAAGTGCACAGATTAGCACTATAAAATAATTAAAGTTTCAACGCTGATTTTTAAAAATAGATGTGTTTTCATAAGAGTGTTTTAGAAAATAAAAAAAAAATGATAAATTTTCATTAATAATTGATAGATAAATAGATAGATAGATAGATAGATAGTTTTTATTTGTAAAAACATGGGTGTTCATAAATATACATTGTCCTATAATATCCAGGCTGTATCATGGCATACAAATTGGTACAAGAGATGGTGCATTAACCACAATATTGTTTGTTATAAACTTTATACTATTGCCAAATACATGACATTATTCAGTCATAATAAAATTAAGCACAAAATTGATTAAACAAATTGTGATAATAAATAATGTCAAGATAAGAAAAATTGCGTTTGCAACTGTAAAATTTTTCTAAACCATCCACCACTTCGGCAGGTCTGGCAGATATGGGCACCGAAGTGCAGATCTTTCTTGAAACCCCGACGATGGAAAACCTAAAAGCACTGGGTCCCAGAGCGGCAGACTTAATAGAGGCCCACATAAAGGTGAGCACAGACTGTCCTCGTGACCAAAAATCCTGGCTTGATACATAAATATCATTTAGATGAGTCTAATGTCTAATGTCTTTATGGGTATGCGTTGTTCAATCTACAAATGGAAACTGCAGAGGAATTGGAATACCGTTGTCTATGGTTCCTTTGGGTGAGTGGAGCAAAGACAAAACTCTTTGACGTGAAGGAAAACACCGTGAGGAAACGTGCATATTTTCGAAATTAAAAAAAAATTCCATCATATGTGTAGTCCGCCAATCCGCAGTGGAGACGCATGGTGGAATATGATCCAATACCCTCTGTACAGATGGTCTTTGCCCGCCCGTGGGACATGTATAGGCTGACACTTTACTTATGTTGCCTTACACCTCTGTCGGATTTACGTCCATCTGACGTGAAAACGTCGTACATAGCATCTCTTATAGATACATCAGCTCGGAGGCATTGTTGCGATTGTAGTAGCGTAGTATATGCCTCTAAATAAACAAATGCATTTTAAATATTTTATAAGTTTTGTAGTTATTTACCTATTTCGTCATGAACATGTCGCACCCAAGACATTTTGTCACGTCATTGTCTTTTTGACGACCCGAATGGCGTAGTGGATAGTGTACCTGCCTTCTGTGCCAGAGGGTGTGGGTTCGATCCCCACTACTGGAAAAATATTGTGTGATGAACATAGTGTTTTTCTAGTGTCTGGGTGTTTATATATATATATATGTATATAATATGTATTTATAATTAGTATTTATTTACAAAGAAAAGTATGTTTAAGTATGTTTATCAGTTTTCTAGTACCCATAGTATAAGCTTTGCTTAGTTTGGGACTAGAGAATGTTGTGTAAATATGTGTCCTAAAATATTTATTTATTTATTTTATTTTATATAATTTCTATGTATCTACAAAAATGTCAATGTGACAATAGCTATAATTTATAACAAAAAAAAACCGACTTTAAACAGGAAACTAAAAATATTATTAATACCTATAACATTTGAGGATTACCATCGATTTCTCTGGGATGCCATCATCAGATCCGGGTTTCCTTATCATGTTACCTGCCTTGGGATATCTCCTTTCCGACAAAAAAAGAATCATCAAAATCGGTTCATAAACGACGAAGTTATCCGCATAATAAAACGCATAAATATATATACAGTCCAATTGACAAACCGTTTCCCACACAAAAAAACCTTTCGTTCTTTTTTGAAGTCTGTTTTAACCAGCTTCAAAAAAGAATATTCTTATATTCTTTTTTGAAGCTGGTTAAAAATGACTATAATAATAATAATAAAATAAAAATAATAATATATAAATATAATATAATAATATATAATAAATAATATAATATATAATACTATAAAATAAAATATAATAATAATATATAAATTATAAAATTTTCTCATTAATTACCTTAATTTCCCACCCGCAGGAGAAGAGGGACCAGACTGAGATGTTCACCGCTCTCGTGGAGGCCACCTTCTGCGTGTCCGGCCTCTCCGAGGGCAGCAGCCTCGCGATGGAGGTGGCGCAGAAGCTGTACAAGAGGCTGCTGGTGAGGGTCAGAGACGGAAGCCCCACGCCGTGGCTGATTGCCAACGCCATGCTCAGGGGGCTGGGGCTGATCAAGGTAATGGCTCCGTGGTGCGGATGCCGAGGTATCGGCTGCTGCCCCGAGGGTCGTGAGTTCGATTCCCAAGCATTTTGACTGTGGTACGGCCAAACAACAGTCTTTGCTGCAGCTATGAACGTAGAACGATATCACAGAAGACCGGTGAGAGGTGTCCCCTTCGAAAGCACGGCCTATTGTGTTGTAAGGATGTTTTGCATGTGTAACCTTAACTTGGATAAACAGCTACATCCGAAATGATTATCTGCAGGTGACAATTTTTTTAAGTGAGACGTCAAGCGCGCTGGTGGTTCACCTGATGTTAAGTGATAACCGCCGCCCATTGACATATTCAACACCTTATAGTGAAGTGGGTCCCGGCTACCTCACTCTCCAGACGAAACGAATGTTTTACAGAGTATTTCGAAGATTTGCGGAGTCCACCAACCCGCAGCGTGGTCACGTGGTGGACTACGTCCCACTAATCTCTATACAACGGAGGCCTTTGCCCAGCAGTGGGACATATATACTTTCACCATCGTTAAGAAGTCAACATGTGCTCATTTAGCCGTGACATTCATAGACACATTTCAATTAACTCAAGGGTCAGCGTTCCAATGAAATTGTTAATTTCAAGTGCTGATTTATCACGTGCTCGGCGGTGAAGGAAAACGTCGTGAGGAGAATCTCGTATGTTTTCGAAATTAACGCAAAACATTTCGAAAATACGCGAAGTCCGCCAATCAGCTGTGGGGTTCGCGTAGACTATGCCCTGATACCTCCTCTTTACAAAGGCCTTTGCCCAGCAGTGGGACATTGTAGGCTGTTACTTTACTTGTATTTTATGTCCTCATTTCACGGATGTCTCCGTTCCCAGTCGGAGAACAAAGACTACCGCATCCGTTGGAACACGGCGGGATGCTACAGCGCGCTCGCGAAGGCTTTCATCACCCTGGATTTCCCACCAGTCATAAGGGACACCATCCGTCTGTTCATCTCGAGCCAACTGCAGCAGCTGCCGGACAATAAGCTGGTGATGCGCTACCCGCAGCTGTACGAGTAAGCATGCGGGTTCCGCACGTATGCTGACGGACACCGATGTATGCTACGGGGTGGCCGGAGGATTGTTGGTGGTGCGCTGGTGTGCAAGTGAATGCAGTGATTGTTTTTTTATTCACTTTAATTGAGAACTGTTGTACATCCCGATATCTCGGCTTAAGTGAATTGCATGGAGGCATTCTTCTCTCGACCTTTATATTAGTTTCTTTCATGTGACATAATAAAATTGTCTATGTGTACTGCAATTAATTCTTCTGCTCTGGAGGGCTTTTGTAGTGGTCATTTTGTAGTGCTGGAAGCATTAATGAAAAAAATAAATATGGATATATGACTAGACTACAATAGATTCTTCTAGGTTGTAGTGGCCGTTGGGAAAACTAACTACTACCCAACAAAATACAAAATACCCTTTCACACAAAATACAAAAATATATTAATAACAGTTATTCCATTTGTAAACAATTGATGATTTCAAACCAAAATGGCTATAAAAATAAATAAAAATAAAAAATAAATTTCTGTTAATTTTTTATCTAATATTTATTTAATTTGATGAACATTGTGTTGTGATGAAATGTGTAAAACACTTTTGAAATGTCATAAGGCAAAATATATGCAGTCTTATCAGTATAATTAAGAAATGTGTTCAGTGTTGTTTTTTTTAATAAAAAAATTCATTACAAATTGATTTGGGTAATGTACTTTTAGAAATTATACTACTACTTATAATAGAATACTTGATTACTGTATGGACTTTATATTGAAATAGCTAGTCTTTTATTAATCACTTACCAGTGCAAAACTTGCATAACACATATTCTAAGATGCTTACAAAATGTTGTTAATTGTTCTATCAGATAATTGTCAACGAAATCAGCATCAATTTATTGGTACATGATTCTAAATATTTGTCAATGTCAAATAACGGAGGACAGAAAACATGTAACGGTAAAATGAAATTTTGATTCATTGTTGTTTTTGATATGTTGTATTGTATTATAGTTTTGATTGGTGTTTTTATTTTTAAGTGGTTTCTGTATAGTATGTAGAAGCACCAAATAGTTCTTATATTAAGGTATTTTTAAATGACGTTGCCTTTGTTTTTTACATATCACATCTGTTTTGCATCTCATAAATTATCTGTATTAGAACTTGTAAGACAATAAGGCATTTAAAAATGAACCAAATATTCAATTCAATCAAAACCTGTCCAGAAAAATAACAATCATTGCGTAAGGTTCCTTGTCTTGCCAGTCTGGCTAAAGAAAATATATTTACGAAGCTTTTACCATCTCCGTAATTAATAATTAATTAACTAAGTCCCGGTAACATATTTACTTTGTACAATTTTTGTATTAAATTTTTTATTGAAATTTTGTTGCGCCTCAAATTTCATAGATTTCACGAGTTACTTTTTGGCTAAGATTTTAATCTCATTATTTTTCTACAATTAATTTACATTTCACTGATTGCGAGAGAAGTAATAATTGTTTTTAAAAAGAACATATCAAATTAAATCAAATTGTTTAGGATTTTTAAAGATATTTTAACTTTTCTTCCAACCCCTTTGCACCAATGTTACCATTGCGTACCCTTTCTTTATCAAAATGGAACTGTACAGTCTTCTAAGGTTACTTTGTAAATTACTTAATTATATAAAAATCCGGATGAATTTGTTTTATTTGCGACAACCTACATACACCTGCACCTTTAGAATAATAGTGACCTATTTAAAAAAATATCAATTTTTGGAACAAATAAATTAAGATGACACTTATGAACAAACGCGCTGATTGCATATGAGTGAAAGAGATGGAATGATACGTCATGTACCTTTCTAAGATCGGCCCTTATTTTTTTAGATTTTTTTTGACATAAGCTCAAAGACATGTCTTACTGCTATAATACTTCGGAAAACTTACCTTAAGTTGGATGGACCCCTAGCTTATAATGATTTTCTTAATTATATCCCGTGCGATACAGACATGTCTTACTGCTATAATACTTCGGAAAACTTACCTTAAGTTGGATGGACCCCTAGCTTAGCCAATAAACAATGCGGAGTGGACATAGAGAGTCGTTTTTTATATGAGCAGGCTGTTCACATAATTTTAGGTGAACACCGCCGCCCATGGACATCTACAACACCCGATGGCTTGATGATACGTTTAAAACTTTAAACGAAGTGGAACTACCTCACCCGCCCAGACGAAACGCAAAACAAACAATGGTCACGCAAGTTTGTTCTGTTGCGTGACCACCGTCATATAGTATCTGTCTGACACGAACGCGGCTCTACATTGGAATGACTAGCAAGCTACTTTGTCTGCATAGATCAGTGCAATTCGTTAGCGAAAATTGCGCGTTCAAAGAGTGGGTCTTTGAGATTTCTTGCAGGAAGAGTAAAGGTAGTAAGCATAAACATTGAGGAACACCCGATATATCCACGTATATATATATTTAAACGTAGTGATTACATTCTCTTTGGATATACCGGGCAAGGCACGGTGGCAAGTGAGCTGTGATTCTTTCTCGGTTGAGATTGTTCACAAATAATTTCGATCTGATTGATTTATACATATTATTACTATACAGTTAGTTATAGCTGTCGGGCACTCCATTTTTGTGAAAGTAAAATGACATTGTAACCGAATAAAATCGATATTGCAATAAACCGATTGCAAAACACCTCTGTTTGTCAATATGACTATGGTATTTGTCTGTCATTCATTCATTATTTCATAGTTAAGAAATGACAATTGAGATTGACACATAACCTATCTCTTCATAACATGTATGTTTATTTACAAAATAAATTACTAACACAATTTCGTTGTATCTGAAAGTTATGGCGTATAAATAATCCATTTCTATGTAGTACGGATTTTGTGTCCCAGTGTTTTGCCTGTTATCTTGTAAATATTATATTTGATAAAATATAGTTCGATATTGCTTACAATTAAAACTAAAATCAAGGGTACGTTTAAACATAATATTTATAGGGAATATAATGCACTGTAATTATGTAATTCTAATAATATTCTGATTTTAATTAATATGTTTTCGGTTTCTTCTTCACGTAGCAGCCTAGGCTGTTGTACGAATGGGCATGCTCATCCGGAAGGTACCACAACCTCACAGAAGACCAACGTGAGTAATACTTTTGCGTTTCGTCTGGTGAGTGAGGTAGCCGCAGCCCAATTTCCAAAAAGGTTGTCAACGCATCTGCAACCCTCGGGTGTAGTAGATGTCCATGGGCGGCGGTATTCACTTAACATCAGGTGAACCGTCTGCTCGCTTGGCAATTTTTTACAAAAAAAACAAGCCTCAGTTATTGGCAACATTTTTGTGCTGTTTTTGTGTTGTTTACTCAATAGCCGTTCCTAATATACAATAATTATGTGGATATGTCTCTGCCAGAGATGACGGACATGGTGAAACTGCAGTTAAAATTTGGCGGTGGAGCAGAATTGCTGTTTGACAAAATTAAGAAGAGAGAGTTGGAGCTACCAGCACTGAAAAAGTATTTTCCAGATTGCCAGCGCGAGAAATGGAACATTAGGTATTTGTTGGTATGGATCAAAGACAATCTGTTGAGAGAGAGACCCGAGCTGTTTTTACAGGTATGTATGAATTAGACATTGTTTATTCATGATTTTATTTCAAAAGTTGATGTTAATGACCCACCATAGGCTAAGAGTACCCTGTATCATTGAGAAGAAAACTCACTGTTCTGAAATAAATCCTGGGTTGTAACTTTTTTTGAGAAAGTTCTTTTTCCAAAATAATTGCACACTGTGCCGAAGATTAACAAACAAACATGTTAATAACACTAGTCTTTGTAGCTAACCTTTAAGAAATTATTATCTAACAATGTAATGGTAATTGTGAAAAGATAATAATTGGAAACTGAAAATTTTCAGTTAAAAGCCTACAATCCGAAAAGTTTCTTTTGCTTTGTGGTTTAATAAAACCACACAATTTCTTTTTTTTTTTAATGTGTGTCATTGTAGGGCGATTCTGTGCGGCCTGGCATATTGGTGCTCATCAATGACGCTGACTGGGAGCTATATGGAGAACTGGAATATGAACTGCAGGATGACGATGTAATAATGTTCATATCAACATTACATGGTGGATGAAACTAGATGTTTGTTTTATTTCCATACCCTTAAGTTTTACCTATTCTCAAATGCTGCGGGAATATTCAATATGCCCTGGTAATATCACTTGCATGGCAAACTCCAAAAGTATATTATATACTTCAACTTAACGCTGAATTTTTTTAACTAGGGTACCTTTAACATCTTGGCCCGTTTACGATAAGTCCTCTAGGAATGTGCCCAAATCCTGTTGGAATGTTGACCATTTTTAAGGAGACAATTTAATGCCCAAATTAGAAGGATTATAAGCAATTTGGCAGGGATTTAAACTTTGGATTCAAGTTCTTCACCTACACTTTATACAGCGTGTCGTTACCATCGCGACAATAAATGAACACACGCCTAACGCTACTTGCCAATAATCATAATAAAATATTAACGTTAAACAATATCCATAATTAAAAAAAAATATTTTTCAAACAAACTAATTAAGTAAAAAAGAAACAAAATTTGTAACACCTATACAACTCGCGCCACAGCGTCGCATTACAAGCCTCTCCTTCTAACAGTATGTTTTGTCTCTTTTAAATTCATTCAACCCATTCATATGCTTTGTGACCTTTACAAATGAACGTTACGTTACGCTTTTATAGGTAAGGGTGTTCTAAAATTCTTTGTTTTGGAAAATTTAATAACTCTGTAAATATCGATGTTTAAAGAATTTAAATGTTTAATACAACTTTATAAAGTTATCCCCTATATGTGTGTTCATTTATTGTCGCGATGGTAACGACACGCTGTATATGAGACAGTAATTTTAACATCAGAAAATCCAGGTAACAAACCAGGCTTTCAATCTGTTCCTCAGATTGCAAGGCAAAAGAAGGTGGTCCAAAATTGAGTGAATATTTTCTAAATAACTACACACAACAACTACACACTCAATTCAATTTAAGTGTTGTGTCTACAGAAAGGGTCGTGAAATCTATCACATGGTTACAGGCCGTTATTTTGTAACAGGTATTTGTCACTGTTACTGTTAAGTTACATGAACAGGCGTAGCAGGTACTCGACTTAATCTAGTATAACTCACTTCTATTCTCTCCCTTTCATTTCTTCTCTCGCTGAAACATTGATACATTCACATACATTCCGTTCTTCCCTTGCAATATTAATCCGTTCCATTCCCACATATATGCAAAGATATAAAACCTTCACTCCTTCTGTAAATAAACGTCGAAGTCTTTCTCCTTATGAATCATGTGATCATGATGAGAAAAAAATCATTCTCATCATCATGCCCTTTTATTCTGAACACAGATAAAGTGAAAAACCACAAATCCTTAGAATTTTTTTGCAAATAAAAATCGGTCGTATATAGATTAACGTTTTAATAAAATCCAAAACTTTGTATAAAAATCATTCAACTTTGGCAGCCGCTACTCCCTTTTTTGACCATCTGAATGTTCGTACTCCACCACGAAGGTGCGGATCTGTTTTGCCGCTATCTTTACCCTCGTTCCCTGGTCACTATTAGCCAAAGGCTCGTGGGGGTCCGAAAACTCGTCCGTCTTCCACGTCCACCTGACGCTGTCGGACAGCCACTGGTTGGCCGCCAGGGTCGTCTCCCTAACTGCCCTGATCTTCAAACTGTTGAACAGCGTGCCCAAGTCTACCTCGACGGTCGAATCGTCCGCCCGCTCCAGATAGTTCTCCAGACGGAGCAGCAAAGTCCCGTCTTTCCAGGGTTCCAACGTGAGGAGATGGATGCCATCTGGCAGCGGTTTCCTTACACCCTGGAACATGTTGTTCAGCGCCAACCAGTCCACGTACTTCAGACGCTCGGCGTCAGAGAAGAACACGACCGGCCTATAGTGGAACTCCAGGGTCCGCTTTCGCTCCTCGACCTTCGACGCACCGACGAGTATTCGGTGGCTGCCCCTCACTACGAGGCCCAAACCTGTACCCGTTATTTAATATTACAGATAATAAAAGTAAAACAATAGTAAATGAATAAATTAATATATTGTATAATAGTAATAATAAAAAATCATTGAACATGGAAACACCAATAAAGGAAAAAAATGTCAGTGAGAAATTTTAGTTTGCGACAAACTGCGCAGGATTAGTATTTCGAGTAGATTATATTCTTCTACAAGGTCCTATCTATCTATATACCACAATTCATCAAAAATTTGGTTATGCGGTTTAACCGTGAAGGCGTAACAGACGGACAGAATTACTTTGAGAGACGCTCGTGTCTTTATAAATTATAGCCCATGTGTTATTCTTATGTACATGATGTGTTTTCATATTATTTTGAAGTTTCATTAAAACCAATTCAGTAGTTTCTGCGTGAAAGAGTAACAAACATCATCATACATACAAACTGTCGCGTTTATAATACAGCGTGTCGTTACCATCGCGACAATAAATGAGCACACATATAGGGATAACTTTTTAAAGTTGTATTAAACATTTAAATTCTTTAAACATCAATATTTACAGAGTTATTAAATTTTCCAGAACAAAGAATTTTAGAACACCCTTATCTATAAAAGCGTAACGTAAAGTTCATTTGTAAAGGTCACAAAGCATATGAATGGGTTGAATGAATTTAAAAGAGACAAAACATATTGTAAGGAGAGGCTTGTAATACGACGCTGTGGCGCGTGTTGTATAGGATGTTACAAATTTTGTTTTCTTTTTTGCTTAATTAGTTTGTTTGAAAAATATATTTTTTTAATTATGGATTTTGTTTAACGTTAATATTTTTTTATGATTATTGGCAAGTAGCGTTAGACGTGTGTTCATTTATTGTCGCGATGGTAACGACACGCTGTATATGTAAGGAGGTAAGGATGTAAGGTTGTAAGGAACGTAAAGATGTAATGAATGTAAGGATGTAAGGATAAAAAAGAACCTGCAGCCGTCTCGTTCAAAGCCTCTCCGACGCCGAACGCGTCATCATAGAGGAGGCGCCGGTGCAGCATCAGCTCGATCTGACCTTCCGCCAGGGAGGAGCCGCCCTCCGAGCGGTCGGTCAGAACGGTCAGCCGCGTGGATTCGTCCTCGATGGATATGAACTCCGTAACCGGGTAGTAGTTCCCGGCTACGGGCTCTTCCAGGGTCAGGTTCCACTGGGGCCTCTCGTCCCGTCGCCTGTGTTGGCGCACACAAAAATTGGACTATAAATATTTTATCGGGCAACACTATCCTAGAGTGTTGCTATGCAGTGGCGGATTTGTAGTTGTGGCCACCATAGGCCCCAGCTCATGTAGTAAGCCGCTGCTTTCTCAGAGCCCATCATACTCGTATATCTTGTTATCATCAGAGAATATTTTGTCACGATTGGCCGCCCTAGGCCCGGGCCTATTGGGCCTTAGGGGAAATCCGCCGCTGTTGCAATGGGTTTATGGTGGCGACACCTACAAAAATTCCGTTCGGTGGTCGGTTTGTAGTGGCAGACGTAGCACGTTATCTTTAAATTTTGATTTGTGCATTGCTAATTTCAGCACTTAAGATTAAACATTAAAATTTGTAGAAAATAGAATTGCGAACCCCGAAGACGTGGGTTCGATTCCCACAGCGGCGAAAGACTGTTCGTACTTTTTTCGATAAGTTTTAACATGGTCTTGCGTTGCTTTGGGTTTGTGAAATGAGTGTTTTTTTTTTTTTAAAGAACATTGCCCTTACTTTAGGATAACATTGTCCCGTGTTGTAAGGACGTTTCTACAAACATAAATTTCACGCGTACAAACACCCAGATGCGAAACAACTATCTGTGGGTCACACAAGTAGCTGTCCCGTGTGGGAATCGGACCCACGACCCCCGACGCCGAAGCCAATACCTTTGCGACTGCGCCAACGGAGTCATCAGAAAATTACAATACAAGTGATCATGACAGTTAAACTGTAAAGTACCCGGAGGGTTTTTTTTTTTTTGGTAAATCGTGTATTTTGGAAATTACATTTAGATACAAATTACTGAGTAATTAAATATGCATAATATTTTTCGATCTTACCGACGTAATAATAAGAAAATATGAACTGATGTTTTTCACAAAAGAAAGAAACTGACAAAATAACAAACTGACAAGAAATTAAAAATAAAGAAAGCAATGATCTGGAATCGAAAAAAAAGTAAAAAAATAAATGTGTAAATGATCGTGACGCGAACCACGGCCGTCTGTTTTGGTGCCGCCCGATTACCGACCGAGCTATTATGACATTTTCTCTTGCGGCGAAATTTACCGTCATATTCGAATTATATTTTTCATTCCCTGAAAACAGGGATAAAAGGGCATTTTTTAAAAATGAAACCTAGCTAGATCGATTTTTCGCCCCCGAATCTACGCAAATACTAAATTTCATGAAAATCGCTGGAGTCGTTTCCGAGATTCCGATTATATATATATACAACAATTGCTCGTTTAAAGGATAAGATTCTGAATGCATCCATTCACCTGCGTAGCGCCTGTCTTCCGTTGCAGTCCGTGTAGAACGCGCGGCCGCTACGCACTCCGCTCTCGTAGCGGGCCACGTACTCCTTGCCGACGGCGTCGTCTACGGGCAGCGGGCCCGCTACGAACTCGTGCTCCGTGTAGTCCAGGCCCTCGTAGAGGCGCAGCGTAGACGCCGCGTTGCCGTCCAACCGCACCCGGACCTCGGATACCAGAGGTCCGCTCCGTACAGTGGCCGAGCGGGGCGCCAGTTTTCGGGGATCCCCCGCCGGCCGGAAGATGTACGCGCCGGAAGCGCGCATCGAAGTGTTGCTGTTGTCCCCGCCGTGGCCGGAGTACGAGTGGAGGTCTACTGATAGGTCCAGGCTGGTGTTCTTCTGGGTCAGCTGGCTGAGGCGCCCGGTGCCGTTGTCTATGCGCAGCTTTATGTACTGGGTGGGGGAGGGTTCGGTGCGCTTGACTGTATTTTTTTTTGTTTATTCGGTACACCGAACAAATAAATAATAATAAATAAATAAACGGTGGTAGGGCCACGTAGTAGCCTCGGCTGTTGCACGAATGGGCAGGCTCGTCCGGGTAAGTACCACGACCTCACAGAAGACCGGCGTGAAATGGAAGTATAATACTTTCGCGTTTCGTAGGTGAAGTGGCCGAAGCCCAATTTTCAAAAGGTTGTCGACGCATCCGCAAACCTCGGGTTTAGCAGATGTCCATGGGCGGCGGTATCCACTTAACATCAGGTGAACCGTCTGCTGGATTCACAACTTTTCACAGAAAAAAAAGCTCTCACCTCGTTTTGTATATACGCCTCCCCAAACGCCTCCACCACCAACGGATCGTCGGACAGCATCCTCATCTCCTCATCGTTCAAGCGGGGGTAGTTCAGCCTCTTGGCCGACTCCCTCTGCCTCGTCCCCGCTCCCTTCGCCTCCCTGATGATCTTCTGCAGTTCCAGCACGTCCTCGCTGACCACCTCGTCGCTGTCTCTTAGAACGTCCAGATCCACGTCTCGTACTATTGGCATCAGACTCTCTTTGCTCCTCGCGACGGCATCTGGTATCCCTCTTCCAGCTGGAAGCGCTTTATCCCTGACCGCCGCTTTCTGAGCCGCCGTCGCGTCGACGTGCGCCGCTTTGACCGTCTGTTTTCCCACCGTCTTTACTAATAGCGTCTGTATTAATGTCAGCGTCTTTGCTAAAAGCGTCTGCATTAATGTCGCCATCCTCGGCGTCTGGTCTTCGTTTATTGATCTCCCCGTCTTCAAGACCCCTGACCTCCAAGTAGGATTTCCACTTGATGTCGCTCCAGTAGCCTTTCAGGTTCTCGTAGTAGTCGCTTCTCTGGCCCTCCGGATTGGCGTCCCGCTTGTTTTTGTCCTTCCTCGTCACGTAGTAGGACTTGAGACCGAGCGGGTGGAGGTAGGCCAAGAAGACCAGCTCGTGGGTGGCCGACGAAACCCGCGTGGGGATCTCGACCACCGCTTGCGGTATGTCGATCAACTGCGAGGTTATCTCTTCTCCTGTGGGGGTAAACATTGCTGAATCTCATGCGCTCGGCCAGTGATTGTAGCAATTAGTCATTTTGGTATTAGATTTCGTACGATGTTTAAATCATGGATTGAAATACGGTTACACCCACAACTCCCTGATGACTAGGCGTAGTTGCCAAGGTATTGGCTTCGCGCGCCGGGGCTCGTGGGTTCGATTCCCACACTCAACTATTTGTGTAACCCGCAGACAGTTACGGATCTGGTGGGTATTTGTCCATGTTCAATTTATGGTAGTAAAACGCTCTTATAACACAGGTATGTATGTGACGATACGTAAAAAAAATATCAGCAGGCTTATGCATATTTCTTCGGCCTTGAAACTATTTAATTGCAAGAACGTTATTTTTGTGGAAAAATCTATCCTTATGTCAGATTTCAAAACTTACATGAATTGACAAACGCATGTACCGGCCATTTCGACTTACCGTTCGGTGCGAACACAGCATAGCTGCCCTCGACAACGGGCACCCTGATTGGCTCGCTCACTTTCCAAGCCAGCGGGTTGTATACCGTTACCTGTGAATATTGTCCTATATGACATACACTTTGCTCAAGGGGATATGACAATAATAGGATACTAAAAGAAGAGTGAATGCATACATTTACGTAGAATTAAAAAAAAATCCGACAATAGAAAAAAAAATAGTAAAGGCCGATATTTTATTTGACTACACTTAACTTTTTGAAGTTCTAGTTCTACACTTAACTTTTTCAAGTTATAATTCTTTAGGCGCTATATATATATACGCTATAGGCTATATTTTTGATTACTGTCATGTACTCAGTGACAGTTCGATTGACGTAATAATCTAAAAATCGGTCCAAGCGTTTGATCTCCACAAAAGGAAAAACGTATGTACGTACCAATGCGTTTTACATTAACCACCTTTGAATCGCACAGTCGGGTAAATAGCTAAATAACTCCCCAATCAGCTGTCGACTTTTTGTCAATATAGAAATGTGTTGCTATATAAAAACGAGAGCCGTTGCTATACAACAAGTATAGAAGAAAAATTACAGAGGGAAAATAATTATAATTTTATTACATTTTATTAAATGTTCAATAAGGGTATTAATCTATTCTATGCCAGTTATGACTCTTAATGCAATGAGAAACTAAGTTGAAAGATAATTAGCGTAAACCCAATTGGCTTAGTGGCTAGTGCATCCCGTCCCATGCGTGAAAAATTTAGTGCCGTGGACTTACCACGAAGCTCCTTTTGGTCTCGGAGACGTGACAACTGGACTCGTTGAGGGCACAGCGCTCGTAAATGAGTAGCGGCGGCTTCAGGCCATCGCGCTGAGTTATCTTGCTGCAACAAATCACGCGTTCAATTCGCACCTTTCCCCGTGGTGAGAGTAGACCGCATCGTTTCGACGCCATTTCCAATTTATTATTATTCGTTTTTTTTAAATTTATTGGGACATAAAACAGTTATACATAATTGTTAATGTATAACTATGTCCTAAGCTTAACGCTGCGGCTGGTGACAAGAGAGCTGGTTCTTTCCTCGCTCAAAGGTTAAGCATAACTATTCAGCGAGGAAATGCAACCAGCGTTCTTGGCAGCATGCCGTGTGGATTAGGTTTATAGGATAATTATGTAATTTTAGATAGATTTAATCTTGTAAATATTAGATCAATTATGAAATTAAAGATATTTGTAATTTCTATTATACATGAAATGAATAAAATTCCTAATTATCAAACTAAACGTATGACCAAGACCAATTTCCGCGAAATAATAATAAGTGAAGTAAAATAAAAAGAGAAGTCGATTCCTGGCGTAATTTGCGTATTACTTTATAAAATTTTGTATAAGTATTACTTTTTAAAACTTTTTGAAGTTATACTTCCTTTGGCGCGTGTTAAAAAAAATATGTGAGTAAAATTTTTATGATGCGCGCGTACACACAGCCAAAAAACGACATGATGAAGTTGCTTGCCAAGGAACTAACACATTTACACATGACATTTGCCTATTATTCCAAGTTATTTAATTAAACCATTATTAATTGCATTCAATAAATTTGTAAGGGGAATTTTTAGTTATTTTCCTTTTGTCACGCTAAAGAAATATGACTTCTTACGTGCTTACGAAGTCATACTTCTTTACTGACTACTATTGATTGATTGAAAAATTCTTTATTGTAACAAAGTTTGTGCAAAGGCGAGCTTAATGCTAAATAGCATTTTCCAGTTGACCTTCGGTGGTTGAGAGCAAGTTACGGGTAGTAACGCTAAAGTGACATACAAGATTTTAAATCTCAATCACGTAGTATTTTTTTATGCGAAAAGTTGTCAAACGAGCAGACGGTTCACCTGATGTTAAGTGAATACCGCCGCCCATGGACATCTGCCACACCCGAGGGTTGCTGATGCGTTGACAACCTTTTGAAAATTGGGCTCCGTTGGTATATGGTAAAACTAAATACCTACTTGACCCACACTTTTTTTAAGCGCGAAGGTGGCATGCCAGCAGTTCACCTGATGGTAAGTGATAACCGTTGCCTATTGACATTTGCAACACCCGTACGATTGCAGATGCGTGGCCGCCTTTCAATAAAGTGAGCCCCGGCTACCTCACTTATCAGACGCTGAACAACACTTCCACTTCACGCCGGTGTTCTGTGAGGTCTCGGTACTCACCCGGACCCGCACATTCCTGCAACAGCGAACTGTTGCAGGAATGTGCAGCGTGGCCGTACCACACAGTGCTGCCAAATTAGAGCTTTTAGCCCCAAATTTACGGCGGAAATATGCATAATAAACTTTTTGTAGGGCCAAAAAAAGTTTAGGGCCATGAATAATATTTTATACATCACTATTTTGACTGAGCAAAAAAAAATAAAAATTTATCTAAATGAATGTAATTAATGAAATTTTGGTTAATATTATTTAGTTTTGTTACTTATTTCAATTGTTTGTAATGAAAACTAATTAAAATTAAGTTATATCTATTTACATTAAGAAAATATGACTGGGATTTTTGGAGCTTTTGAAAGTTGCATTTTTAGGGCTATTTAGGGGTGTTTCTTCTCGACTTTAGGGCCGTCTTTTAAAATTAGTTGGCAACACTGCTACCACAGTTAGTGCTCAACGACTGAACGACTGGTTACACATGATCATGAATAAATTAAAAAAAAAGGTTAGTGCTCACTTGAAAGCTTGCTTCGCGATGATGTTTGCGTCTTCGATCGCCGAGTCGAGTAGACGCACGTAGTCGTTAGCGACGTGCTGCTTCTCCGTTCCCGTGATGGCGTCGTGATGCTGCATCACGCCTGCAGGGGCGGAATAATCGTGTAAATATCCGAATCACAAATTTAACACCCGACGTAAAAAGAGGGGTGTAACAAGTTTGACGTGTCTCTCTATGTAACATTTCCGAATCACACATTTAACACCCGACGTAAAAAGAGGGGTGTAACAAGTTTCACGTGTCTCTCTATGTAATATTTCCGAATCACACATTTAACACCCGACGTAAAAAGAGGGGTGTAACAAGTTTGACGTGTCTCTCTGTGTAACATTTCCGAATCACACATTTAACACCCGACGTAAAAAGAGGGGTGTAACAAGTTTCACGTGTCTCTCTATGTAATATTTCCGAATCACACATTTAACATCCGACTTAAAAAGAGGGGTGTAACAAGTTTCACGTGTCTCTCTATGTAATATTTCCGAATCACACATTTAACATCCGACTTAAAAAGAGGGGTGTAACAAGTTTCACGTGTCTCTCTATGTAATATTTCCGAATCACATATTTAACACCAGACGTAAAAAGAGGGGTGTTACAAGTTTGACGTGTCTTTCTATGTATTTATGTCTGTCCGTAGCATTGCAGCTTCTAAACAAATTGATCGTTGTCGTGGGGTTTTACATCCCTTGCTGCACCTACCACCTCTCACCACATTCTGAATTGTTTGATATTGGACGCCTTTTGTAACATTTGTATTTAAGGTTGGCAATACAGCTTAGATAAATATCCCGAAAATATATGAAAGTAAAATAATTTCTAATCATTGATGTATTTTTAGTGACCTTTTTGTTATGGCAATAATTATTTTTAAATGAGAGCGGGAAACGTGGCAACTTACCCATTGCACTCTTGAGCTCGTCGAGAACGAACATGTTGTGTTCAGGCAAGTTTGCCAGCACCTGCAGCTGTTTCACCATCTGAAATGTGACATTCCATTAGGATAAAATAGCATACGACCATATAAAACTAGGGTTGCCAACCGTACTATTATTTACACATAGTATTTTGCAGGTTTGCGTACTACATATGTACTGTTAAAAATAGCACACAAAACTAATAACAAATTATACACATTTAAAGGAACTTTTATGAGATTGTACTTTTTTTTAAGTTTTTACGTAGTTTCTAGACAAGTACAGTCTAGTGTAGTAGAGTCTGTCCCGTGAGCATGAACGCTGGAAAATGTTCAAAACGTCGGGAATTTAATAATAGTTTCATTTATAAATGTATAGTCATCGCGTAAAAACAAGAGATCAATTTATTTACCTATTTTGTAACTTAAAATATATCATAACATATTCTTTACTTTATAAATAAAATACAACATTTTATTGAAGTTTTTATAGCATATTTAAAAAAAAATTATAGTAGTTTAAATAGCTTATAGAATCGCCCGAGGGGATGTTGGCAACCCTATATAAATACGGCCATAATGCTTACAGCCGAGGCGACAGTCAATGTATAATAAATACCTATCAACAATCTGTTAGTTTAGTCTCTGTGGTTTGACAAAAGGGTGGCATAGTATGTGTTAATAAATTGTCGAAAAATTACCCCTACCAGTATTCGAACCTACGCCTTCATTTACAGCAAACAATTTCAACGCCACACGGTAAACACTAGATGGCGCCAAGAATTGCTTTAAATGCAATAAAAACGAAGTATACAGAATTATGTTTTTTAGACGAAGTATACAGTTTGATTTTTTTAGACGAAGTACATACTTTGACATAATGTTAATCGGAGCATTCTATAATTAAAACGAGAGGAAGTCTGAGACGTCTTCTTGCGCTTGCAGATTTATCGTTCTGTAGGGATGTCGAAAAAATATCGATATATCGATATATTTAGCAGATATATTTTGATTCGATATAAAATATTCAATTTGGAAATCATTTCAAAAAATGTTTTTTGTTTCCAATTTGAATCCGCAGGCGCATAGCCCGTAGATATCAATTATTTAATATTTTTTTAATTGAGATCTACGGACCTTGTTTTTGGACGACGGCATCACCTAAAGAGATAGTATCAATATATCGATATATCGATATTTTCTCTTCGATATATCGAGGCGGATATTGATATTTTTGTAAATATCGAAATATCGATATATTTCTTCACTTTCGACATCCCTAAACGCTGCGTGTCCCTACCACATATGCTACCATACCTGCAGGTAAGTGTTACCCCTCCTCTCGAAGTACTTGGTGGTGGGGCGCGAAGTGAAGTATCCCGTCCAGTAGGCCGTGGGATCGCTAGCGTACGGGAAGAAGTCGTCCTGCTTCGTCGGCAGACTGGGGCTGGATTCGAAGGCGGTAGTGTTAAAGTCAAAGTCAAGGTCAAAGCCAAACCTCGTCCCCTTTACGATTTTTTTCTGTTTCACGTAAGCTGTAGAGATGCCGAAAACGTGTACTACTGTAGGGATATCGATATATCGATATTTTTAGCCGATATATTTTGATCCGATATATCGATATATATTTTTTTTTAATTCGAATCCGGGACAGAGTGCGTACGTTCAAATATTTAATATTTTGCACACGTTTTATTTTTGTGGACAACAGGACTTTCTCTTCGATATATCGAGGTCGATATTGATACTTTTAATAATATCGATATATTTCTTCACTTTCGGCATCCCTATCCTTTCGCGTATATGTACATGCATGGACCATTTATAAGCTGTTATTTTTACTTTAGTGGATTCTCTTACTATGCGTCTTTTACTGCCTTCAAGTAGCAGTCCGGCGTCGAGTAGAACAGCTTCACGTTGAGGCCGTCTTTCGCCGCTTTCAGATTCGTGTATCTGTTGGGAGGTGGAGAATTGAGTTAAGTCTTACCGTTTAGCGTCACATCACTATTTACCGTCTGGTGGTATAAAAACCACTCAAGAGCGAGTCGAACTCGTACGCCGAGGGTTCTGTACCTAACCATTATGCCGCCGTAATAAACTGGTAAATAATCACTACCGATTTTCTTAGGACCTAGCCAGTTGAAATGTATACCAGATACTGAAGTCCCTATAAGGTGTATAGAAATCAAGGCCCTGAGTCAACACGATAAAAAGTAACGGGCAAATTTAGATTTTCGCGAAAACCTGTAAGTGTAACTGGGTTTGCAGAACTGCAGATGCTACGACAACCGTTAATTGGACCCATTAACCTCATTCGACCGTGATAGCTCATAATCCTTTTCTCGCTCGCTTTTGCGAGAAGTCAATGGATGCAGGTGGTTCAAGCAGTGCTCACGAAACAGGTAGTAATGATGATGTGTAGCATTTACCGTGGTAGGGCCACGCAGCAGCCCCGGCTGTTGCACGAATGGGCAGGCTCGTCCGGGTGAGTACCACGACCTCACTGAAGACCGCCGCGAAGTGGATGTATAATACCTTCGCGTTTCGTCTGGTGAGTGAGGTAGCCGGAGCCCAATTTCCGAAAGGTTGTCAACGCATCTGCAGCCCTCGGGTTGCAGATGTCCATGGGCGGCGGTATTCACTTAACATCAGGTGAACCGCCTGCTTGCTTGGCAACTTTTCACATAAGAAAAATGTAGACCACGGAACAGCTATCTTACCGTAATACCGCAACCTATAAGTTCAAATTATAAAAAGATCACAAAGTACAGGAAAAAAGACTGAATCGCAGATCTACCGAAAGCCTGGTAGCATCGATATAATTATAACTTATACACTCACACTACAAACGCATAACATGCAATTTTATAAAGAAAACGTCAGGCAAAATATATGATATGTGTGAAACATCAACAACTTAGTATCCGAAGCATCACAAAAGTACAGGGCAAAGGAAATATTATGAGTTTCTAAGTTGGCTTCGTGAACCAATGATAGCTTTTCGGTTTTAGTTAATACTTAGGTTGATTGACATTTGAAATTGAAATTTTCTGATTATCGCCTATCTATCTTTCGGAGTCTAAATTCATGAATGCTGCCTTACATAATAGTTGACAGACCCAGGGGTTATTGTTGGTGCTTTTAAGGATCGCTGAGACTTAACAAGAAGAAGCAGTCACGAAGCATTTTTAAAAAATGTAGTTCGCAATACATGCAGCATGCAGTAATGACAGCATTCGGTTCTATTAATCCAAAGAGGATAGTCGGAAATAGCAAGTTTTTTTTTTGTGAGGAGTTAGCTAGAACCAGGCGGTTCACCCGAATTTTAATGACCGCTTCCCATAGACAACTAAAACATCTGTGGGCTTGCAACCTTACAATGGTTGGCCTCAGTTAAATCACTGATCAAACGAACAATTATAACAATCCTGAACCTATTACAACGTAGGCGTCTTCAAGGCAGGAGTGGATAGGTTTTTACTGAGCTAGCTCGTTTATTATCGACGGCTTCATCGCCACTTACCATCAGACTGTGCCATTACCATCAGGCATCGCCACTTACCATCTGACATCCCATGTCAGTAAAGTGCTTGCCAGTTTTGAATTAAAAAAAAAACATCGACCCATGCCGACTCCCTCCGGACCACATCCCCATCGGAAGCACTCACTGTATCAACTTGTCCAGGTTCGTGAACCACATCGCGGCGTCCTGGTAGGTGAAGTCACCGCCCATGGTCACCAGCACGTTGCCGCTGCGGTAGCGCGCGCCCATCTCCCTCACGTACTCCAGGAACTTCCCCACCTGAGTGCACCCCGGGCTCGTGACCACAATGACCTGGCCTCCGACCCTATGGCGGCGGGATTTGTGCGACAAACGTTTTGACCATCTCCCGGGTCGTGTACATCGATCGAAGAGGAATCGTTCCGTCTGTACCTCTGTTTCGATGAATTTTCCGCGGAAGAGTATAATAATCGTGTTGTAGAAATTCAATTTCACTCAAATTCAAAGTCAATTTCATGGTAATCCGTACAAAGATTTAGAATAACATAAAAGGTCCAGCCATTTTTACCAAATGTTTAAGTACTCGCTAAATATCGGTTTTTGACTCCCGTTCCTCAAGGATTGTCAACCTTGAAAAACTGTTTTACAGCACAAAATAAAAATCGGAACATATTTATTCTATCATTCTTCTTCTTTCTCCTGCCCTTATCCCACACTAGGTGGGGTCGGCACAACGTCCCTTCCTTCCACTTTCGTCTACCAGCCGTCATCTGCAACAGCGAACACTGTTGCGTGGCCCTACCACAGTTAAACTCAGTATTGATCCTTTTATCCAATAGTCACGAAGCATTTTTAAAACATGCAGTTCGCAATACATGCAGCATGCAGCAATGGCAGCATTCGCTTTCGAATGTTCGCAATCCGAAGAGGGTAGTCAGAAATCGCAAGTTTTGTTTGTGAGGTAGCTAGAACCAGGCGGTTCACCTGATGTTTAATAACCCCTGGCCATAGACAACTACAACATCTGTGGGCGTTCAAATGCAGCAACCTTGAAATGGTTGGCCTCACTCATCAAATGAAACGATTTAAATTTTAATACTTCTACTCTACGCCGGTCATGTACCACTTATAAGTTTACTTAGTTTGTACACATTATACATCAGAAATTCGAGACTGTAGTTTTTTGGACAGTTAAAGCTCAGATTTAAGGCCTATGATCTTAGAAAGCAATATTTTTATCTTGTCAACTTTTTATAGTTGTTTTTGTTCAACCATAATGTAGGGTATATTATGTTTGACTTCCTGTAAATTACAAAAACGGGCAAAATCTGCCAGTCTATGAATTGAGTCAACACGAATTAAAATATCTTTATTCAACATAGGAGCATTACACTCATTTATTGATAGTCAAAATACTACCACCGGTTCGGAAAAGAAAGCCTTTGAACCGAGAAGAGCCGGCGAAAGAGACTCAGCGGGCTAAAATCCTAAATGAGTTCAAGAAGACAAACATTTTCGGAATAGATTAATCTTTCACCACTGCAACCAAAAATAGCTACAGGGAAGAGAGAGACATGACGAGAAGAGAAAGAGATAAAAGAAACAACGTATGCGAAAAGGTTTGATGGAATCGTGCAGAATGAAAGTGTCTCGTCACCTCGTGTGTTTCAAAGTAACACCGCACAAATAAGTAATGAATTATATTTGAAGTAGACGCCATTAATAGAATTGTTCACAAACACAAAACAAATCGGAATTAGAAGTCTTGATAAACGGAGATGCACAGGCAGAAGTAGATATTGGTGGAAAATTGCGAATAGCAAGTCTTACTGTATCAGTTTGTCCAAGTTTTTGAACCACATGCCCGCGTCCTTGTACTGGAAATCGTCCCCCATGGTCACCAGTATGTTATTGCTCCTGTAGGCCTCTGACATCAGACGCACTCTATCCAAGAAACCGCCGACCTAACATCGAAATCGTTAAAAACATTTAACCTCTCCCCAATTATCAACTTATCCTCACGTCTGAGGAAGTGCAAACAAAAGAAAGTCAATAAGAGTAATGCAAATGTAAAGTAAAGTAACAGCCTATAAATGTCCCACTGCTGGGCAAAGGCCTCCTCCGCAAAGAGGGTATCAGGGCATAGTCCCCCACCGACCCCACTGTGGGTTGGTGGACAATAAGAGGAATGTACGTAATTAAAAGTGATAGACGAAGAAGTTAGTGACAATTATAATTTTTATTAGAGTCTAATGATGTTTCAATAAAGGTGATGCATGGACACACTGCGTGGTGTTTAAGATTGTTCCGCTTTACATTATATGACATATATAAGTGAATGTGACGAATAATATAGAACGTGTGATACGAAAAGAGGTAATAGAGTTGCAATCTAATTACACCAATTGGCGTAATTGAATGTCTCAGTTTCGCGCTACTTTCATATCTACCTCGCATTTTACTATAATATCATTGACTACAACACAGTATTCACCAATCCTACCGGCAGACTTGAATCATAATAACCGATCTTTACAGCTTAACAGATACTCACGATGAAAAAAATATCCACTGTCCAAGAATCATCTCTCGAGCCGTCAAAGCATTCAACAGCAAATAACCACTTGATTCTTGACAACAAAATAACGAAATAGCACAGTGCTACGTTTGCCTAGATTGGATACATCGGGCATCATCACTCCAGCTTTTCAAGTTCAAAGGTGTTATCCAAACACCATCACTAGATTCGCTTTAGATCCTCTTGCATCTATTAGCCTCCCACAATTCCTTAACGACAAATCCGCAAACTTGATTACTTCACGCGTAAGTTAGGGCAACTTCTCGAGTTACCAGGATTTGTTTAAATCTAGAAACTTCTAAACGTTAGAAAAAGAATCAGTTTAAAAATATGGCTTAAACTATCGTCCAGATATGCTTCCTAAGGTTGTTTTTGAACGCGTTCATGTTTACCTTAGCCTTAATAAATATATCCAATGGTTAATCATCATCATTTCAGCCTGTTTGAACAGAGGCCATCCACACAGACTGCCTCGAAGCATGATCCTGAGCCAACTGCATCCATCGACTTCCTGCACACTTGCACAGGACGTCACTCCATCTAGTTGGGGGTCTTTCTACAGTGCGATGGCCAGTACGAGTCTGCCTCAAGAACCTTACTTCCCCATCGGTTATTATTTCTACGAGCTATATAACCGGCCTATCAGCACTTCAGCTGGCTAATATTCTGAGCTATGTCTATATATAAATGTTGATATATGTGTACATATAAATCTATATATATACAAATGAATTCCTATTTCCCTTGGTCACGCCATCACGCGTGAACGGCTGGACCAATTTCACTTTTTTTTTTGTTGTGTTTGTTATTATTAAGAGAAGGTTCTTAAGAAAGAAAAAATTTAAGAAATTGCGCGGAAAATTGGAAAATTTAAGAATACTGTCGTCGTCGCTAAGTATTTGTGGCATCAATCTTGAACATCCATGTTTTTCACATGGCCAGATTATAAGCGCAAGAAAAAAAAAAACAAGAATATTGTATACCATAAAGCATTAGAATAATAAACACACTTCTTTATTTATTATACCAATTCGAATTATTATTAAATAGTCATCATTAAACAGGACGTCTGTCGGATCAGCTGGTCGTTAATAAATATCTTGAATTCTAAAATGTGCTCCCTAATTTGCAGTGCAGTATCCGCGTAAGTATGTCAGTCTTTACCTAAATCATTCCACAGCCCCATGCAAATACATGCAAAGAGACTTCGACTCACTGTATCAACTTGTCCAGGTTTTGGAACCACATAGCGGCGTCCTGGTACTGGAAATCCTCGCCCATGGTGACCAGAATGTTGCTTGTTCTGTAGCCCAGTGACATGTTGGCCACCACCTCGAGGAATCGCCCCACCTTCGAGGGCATGACCTTAACGCTCGCATTTCCAATGCAGCGCAATACCAAACGGCTTATTGGGCTCTTTCCGTCGCCCAAATACGAGGTTTTACGTTAAAACTACTTCTATAGTCTTATCTTTTTTGTTAAATACACTAGAATTCATCGCCCCTTAGATATAAATAAAGATAAAATCTTCTTGAAAATCTATTTTTAAACCTTTTACAGAATTCGTAAAGGATCTCTACGGTGCTTTTGAATTTAGGTCGTTAACAGATCTAAACTCAATAAAACAATTTTTGATTTTGACTTAAAAATATTTTGCGCATGAATTATATAAAGTATATTTAGGCGAATACTACACAGGATGTTTTATCAAAGCTAAGGTAACATACTTAAGGGATGTCGTGGAGTATCAGGGAGGTTTTCTATTGTCGCAAGCTACCATCAGTTGTGATAAAATTTACGTTTAATATTGTGAGATCCATTGTTGAATTACATCTGAACCACTATTACTTGTGAAATTTATAAAAAACCTTGGTAAACATACTAACCAGCATTTTTCGTCCGTAGAATTAATTAAAAAAAATTAACGGAAATTTATGTTTTTTTTTTAAAACACAACCGAGTTGTTTTATTTATCAGACCAGTAATGGTGAGGGATTGTATCATATTTTGTCAAGCTCGAGTCGACAAAAATACTTTTAAGTTTCAAGTGAAATAGGTTCCAAATCTTCTCATCACAAAGAGAATCATATGATTTACAAATTGCTTATATGCAGATCAAATCAACTACCCATTGGGCACAAGTTGCCTAAGCACGAAGCCATCAGGGTAACTTTGGAAGTCAAACGTTAGTCACACAAATATCACCACCTTCATCGTCCGTCTAAACAATGTCATCTTGGGAATTAAACATACATTTCCCATTACAATTTCTCAGAGGATGAATGATAATCGATTCGATCAAGAAACTATAGCTTAGCAAATGTCGGCTCAGATCAGGACACTAATTTTTGTTGAAACAAGTAGCACGAAGCCATCAGGGTAACTTTGGAAGTCAAACGTTTGTCACACAAATTTCACCACCTTCATCGTCCGTCTAAACAATGTCATCTTGGGAATTAAACATACATTTCCCATTACAATTTCTCAGAGGATGAATGATAATCGATTCGATCAAGAAACTATAGTTTAGCAAATGTCGGCTCAGATCAGGACACTAATTTTTGTTGAAACAAGTAGCACGAAGCCATCAGGGTAACTTTGGAAGTCAAACGTTTGTCACACAAATTTCACCACCTTCATCGTCCGTCTAAACAATGTCATCTTGGGAATTAAACATACATTTCCCATTACAATTTCTCAGAGGATGAATGATAATCGATTCGATCAAGAAACTACAGCTCAGCAAATGTAGGCTCAGATCAGGACACTAATTTTTGTTGAAACAAGTAATTTTTTTTTAATAACGAAAAACAAAATCGACTTCAAATATCTCGCTCGCTCTGTATTCATTTTATAATTGATCTTCAGGAGATCCCTCCGTATCTCCGGAGCCCAAGATCCAATAACAATGAAATTAATATGGGACCACGTGGGAAGCACCAGTTTTCAAATAAAAATTAACATCAAAATCGGTTAACTCAAAAGTTCTGAGGTAACAGACAAAAAAATACAGTCGAATTGAGAGGTTCCTCCGTTTTTTCAAGTCAGTTGAAAAAATCTCACGTCCACGTCCGAATAGGACTGGAATAGTCTCGGAGACCTTTAAAGGGCTAAGCAAAATGGTTTTTTGAATTGTCCTGAACGTAATAATTTCTTGTATTTACGCGATTACACATTATAAATGAAACTAATTTTACGGATTTATCGCGTTTATTTTTAATTTAAGTTCCCGACGTTTCGAACCCATTACAGCTTAAATTAAAAATAAACGCGATAAATCCGTAAAATTAGTTTCATTTATAATTGTCCTGAACGGTCAAAATGTTGCTCTTACCAAAACTAATCATTAAAATCTGGTTAAAAGTTTCAATTATAAAGTAAACTATGCAACTTTCGGTTATCTTTATAATAAAATAGCATAGGCTTCATCTAAATTTTAGCATAATTTACACTAACCAAAACTTCCTTTGATGGCTTGTAAAAGTCTTTAAAATTATAACCTCACTTTAAAATTTGAAGTAATGTCTAACTATGGCTATAGGCTGACCAGATTGCAATCAAATAAACGGATAAGAGACAACACTGCTGAAAGCAAGACATCTTGAACTCATATCTTCAGTACAGGAGAGTATAGTAGTACTCTCCTGTACTGAAGATATTATAGTATTCCAGTCTGTATTGGTAACCGTCAAATTTTAACCAGCCGTAATAAGGGAATCTGAAGACAGAATTTCCTCAACATTTCATCACAAATCCCCTCCGGCTGTGATCACCACCTGGTGATCGCTCACGCAGTTCCAACTCACCTTCTGGTCGACGTTGAACATGGGGGAGCTCTGGTCGTCGATTATGGGCTCGTCGTCGCAGAGTACGTCGAAGCAGAAACCGGGGGGCGGCGAGTACGTGTTGTAGAGGACGCTGGTGAAGATATCGGAGGCGGAACCTGTTGAGTTCAAACGGAAACTGCCTGCAGCCCTTGCATATAGATTACACTGGCTGCTGCCCGCGACTACATCTGCGTAGAATAGACAGAAGGCGTAACATTCAGACAGAAAGGCAGATATACATAAAAATATGTATATAAATTATAGCCTTTGTGTTATTCTGAGCTATATTATTGTAAAGTTTAATTAGAATCCATTCAGTAGTATTTGCGTGAAAGAGTAACAAACATCTATTCATACGTAAAAACTATCGCGTTTATAATATTAGTAAGGAATAAGGAAATAAGGATAGTTTTGTTTTGCACCTGCGTCAAACTTTATCTACTTCCAGGGTTGACTGGAAGAGAATGCTTATTAGCATTAAGTTTGCCTTTTGTTTAGCCTTAAGTTGAGGTGTAAACAATAAATTTTAAATAAATAAATAAATAAATAAATAGTTAGAATGAAGGGTCCCGCTGATTTTGTTAACATCTAACTGTTAATTTATTCTAGGCGAAGCGTTTCTTGTCGTTTCCACGCACACTTTTTTTAATTACCTAAAATCTCAGCTTCTTATTAACAACTTAGCTCTTTTTATCTGAACAGTTGTCAAGCGAGGTCATGGTTCGTCTGATGTTAATTGAAGACCGCCAACAATGGACATCTAAAACATGTAAGGGCTTGCTGTTGACCGCTTTTAACAACCATTTTAAAAAGTGGACCGTAGTCACCTAACCTACCAGAGAAATCGCGATAGAAAAGGAATAACACATAGGCTATAATTTATATAAATATTTTTATGTATATGTCTTTCTGTCTGAATTTTACGGTTTCAGCCTATTCTACGCAGAGGTAGTCGCTGGCAGCAGCTAGTTTTCTATTATTGTGGTCAATACGGATGGCCTTCGGGGTACGTTTACTAACCACAGAAAGACCTTAGACCATTAGAACTCAATACATTTCACATTACCCATTACGTTAATCAACAAAGAATTAACCGTTCTGTGCGGCTCCCACAGTTACTTGCCATACTATTCTATACTATTCAAATAACGTTACTGTAGTAACCCAATGGTCCTAACCCAGGATGGGTAAATTTTATAATGGAGTCTGTTCTCATCAAGACATATTTTAATTATTATTTGCCCAGCTTTAAATCATCTCTCCAACGTCATATTGCTTCTTGTCATGTACAGGCATGTCAGTTGTGTACGTAGGTGCTACTCACGCTCGTATTGTATCCCTTTAACTTTTATTTTAGCTTGATAAGCGGCGACAATCTTTTCGTACTTCTTCTACAAATATTAATGTTGATAAGTTATGTTTTACTTTTGTTAAATTTTAACCCATTTATGGAGTTTTAACTCTTCAGACGGTTTTATCTCTGCGATTCGTGAATGTTGTGTTTAGATATCAAGTTACGTTTGTGTATTATGTGTTCTCTAAATTACTTCTCTGTGAACATGTTTTAGTTAATGCATGTTGCTGAACCTTTCAAAAATAAAATAAACACCACCTACCTAAGTCGTCATCCCCCCTCCACACCATCTCCATGCTCTTTTCCTTCAGCCGCACCCTCTTATCCTGGTAGTCGATCCTGCCTAGGAACAGCCCGTCATAGCCCATTGCGGCGAGATGAGAGGCGAACTCCCTGGAGTGGCCGAACGGGTCGATCTGCCAGCCCACGCGTGGGCGACCGCACGGCCCAAATGTCTCGTTCAGTTTGCTGGAAACAATTGAAAAAGTTTCGATTTCTTTAGAAGGGGTCTTCGCCCAGCAGTGGGACATCTTTTTCTATCATTTTTTTTTGTTATCAATTCAAAAACATGCCGGTTTCAGCACGTGATTATGCAGCACTTTAATTAACAATTACATTGGTGCCAGCGCCAGTGATGGAACTTATATTAGGTTGCTCGAGTATTTTTAATTAAAGGCGAACACCCGGACACTGAGCTATCACGGCTCACAAAATCTAATAAACGCAAATTTATAATACACAAAATTTAATATACACAATTTTTTTTTATTTAAGGGCTTCAACGCCAGCGAGGCCGCGTGTAAAGGCTAGTAAATAAATAAATAAATCCATTATAATAAAACAAGAAGAAACTCAAATGTCGAAAGTAGATCAACCACTTGGGTCTTCGGCTTTCGGGGAATGGTCTGGTCGCTCACCTGAGGCCGAAGGTGAACTGGTCTATCGTGCTGTGGTAGTGGGAGGCGGCCTCGTCGTTCATGCTCCAGGCGCCGCCGGCGAACTGCAGCCGACCCTGGCGCACCAGCTCCCTGATCCTGCTCCGCACCGCCCCACCCTGACGCACCCACCACTTCCAGAAGAAGGCGGTCTCCACGTACACGAACCTGACGTGGATCGGGGGCAATCACAACGGAATTTTTGATTTTATTTTATTTATGTAAAACATTGCCCTCACTTTAGGATAACATTACCCTGGGCTGTGAGGACGTTTCACAAACATAAATATCACGCGGACAAACACCCAGATGCGAAACAACTATCTGTGGGTCGCACAAATAGTTGTCCCGTGTGGGAATCGAACCCACGACCCCCGACGCCGAAGCCAATACGGAGCCACGGAGTCATCAAAGAACGGGACTGTAAAAAAATACTTGCATTTAGCTTAAGACTGCATTTTTATTCAAGTATGATATTAGTAAAGTACTGACCGGTTTTTGTTTAGGAAAATATATGTACTTATACATTTTTTTCCGTAACACACTGTTTTCATTTACGACCTATTTACCGAGAGATAATTTTATATATACGTGATTAAATCAATCTGTCTGTTACGCCTTCACGACCAAACGGCAGAACTAATTTTGATGAGGTTTTGTATAAAGATAAATAGGACCAAGGGACGAAAATAAGCTAGTCGAAGAAATAATCCTGCTCAGACAAAGTCTTGTATCTTGTATTAACTGATGTTTTTGCTTTCAGTCCTGAGACTATTAAAGCTTCATCGGACGCAGAACCGGTGGGCTAGCCAGAACCCACGGGTTTGGACCCTCCGCTATGGGTAGGGTCGCGCATGTGCTCATGCGTGCGTTTAACTACTATGGTGTGTCATCTAAGGGCCGTCGAGGTCGCCGGTTCGGACCGAGACCCCGACGGCCGTCGACTGTGCATTTAGCTAATCGGTGGCTGGGAGCGGTGAGAACCGCCCCGGAACGCGGGTGTACCTTGTGTACGCGTTGTGTGGGTCTCGCCGTGCTCGGAGGCGAGGGCGAACTGGTGTGATTGTTGTTACACTAACTGTGGGTGTAGTGTTATCCGGCGGGACCCCCGGCGGTGGGTCCATCGTATCTAAGTCCTCTTCGTCGACCGGGTCGCTGAGGACGTTTCGCGGGCGACGCTTGTTTACGTTCGCGTTAGTGTCCGGTTGGTAGTTTGCTGCGTTTACCACCAGAGGGTTGGGATGATGCTGGACTCTATCGAAGAACCGTTTTGTCAAATCTTTAAAATGTGTGCGAATCGTCGGGAGTCTGCAATCGCTGTGCAGGTCGACGTTGCGCTGATACCACTGCGCACCGGTTGCGCGGTGGATAAACTTATTTTGTACTATTTGCAACTTGTACAAGCGAGTAGGGTGCGTGTGGGCGAAGATCATGCATGCGTAAGACATAATAGGTCGTACGCAGGTCTTATATAATAATAATTTGTGCCTTAAGGGCATTTTACTTTTAGCATTAGTTAAATTGTGTAGCCGGCCGGAGACGAACGCGGCTCTATTACGAACGTTATTAATGTGCGTAGTAAATGACATACGCGAGTCGAAAGTGACTCCTAAGTATTTGACCTTTTTCTCCCAGGGGAGCGGTTGGCCATAAAGGGATATTTGCCCCAACATTCTGCATTGGCGAGGGCCATTATAAAGATGTGACGGGTAGGTACTTCGTGTGAAGTGAATCGCCACACTCTTTTCGGTATTTATTTCTATTCTCAGACAAAGTCGCGGGTACCAGCTAGTAAAAAATATATGGTAAAAAAATATTATTTATTATCATACTTTATCACCATCTCATCTGGCTCTTTCGCACCTCCTTATTCTCACTGTTTATTTGTCGGTTGATTGGTAGGGAACACCTAATAGTGTTTATTTTATTTTTTATTTATTAAGGCATTAAAATCCATACAGAACATTGAAATGTAAATATGTTTAACTTAATACTAAAGTCGTAAACAATATATGTACATATTTAAATTACAGGTAAACACAACACTTACAAAACAAACTTGAAATATAGAACAGGAACCTAACTAAAAAAAAAAAATCTTTTATCTCTGAGAAAAAAAACGGAATTAGGAAAATTGGGAAATTATAAATTTGAACTTAGCAATACTTAGGTCAACTTATTATAAAATTATTTGAAGTGTGTATATATTTTTTTCTTAAATATGTGCAGTTTTTCAGAATATATATCTACATCACATTTCTGAAAGAGAACATTGTAAGCATTTAATGCAGTTGCTAGAGGTGTTTTCATGCCATATATATTTCGACTTGTTTTTAGGTAAAAAGGTTTGTAATTTTGTATCCTTGCACTTATCCTAGGAATATTAATGTTAATATTATGCAAGAGAGACAGACAGTCCAGTTGTTAAAATCGTTGTGTTAAATCCACCATTGTACGTTATTGTACATAAAGTTTTTAAATAACAGTATCAGCCTATACATGTACCATTGCTGGGCAAAGGCCTCCTCTGTACAGACGGTATCAGGGCATAGTCCACCACGCGGCCCCACTGCGGATTGGCGGACTTCACATATGTTCCAAACATTTTTTTGTTGTTATTTCAAAATATGCAGGCTTTCTCACGATGTTTTCCTTCACCGCTGAGCACGTGATAATTCAGCACTTGAAATTAACAATTTCATTGGTGCCGGCACCGGGGATCGAACTCGGGTAGCTCGAGTACATTAAATTAAAGGCGAGCGCCCGGAGACTGAGCTATCACGGTTTTTTTTATGTTCGAGCAGGCGGTTCACCCGATGTTAAGTGAATACCGCCGCCCATACCCAGACGAAACGCGAAAGCATTATACTTCCAGTTCACGCCGGTCTTCTGTGAGGTCGTGGTACTTACCCGGACGGGCCTGCCCATTCGTGCAACAGCCGAGGCTACTGCGTGGCCCTACCACGGCTTTTTAAATAAATAAATAAATAACGGTGCTATCACTTCACCCTTACCTCCTCTTCGGATCCTCCCACAGCTCTTTGACAACGGAATCCAGGATGTACTGCACGCCGGCCTTCTGGATGTTGTTGCGACCTGTAAATAGAGTTATTATATATACTTTATTTAACACCAAAAAAACATAAAAGGAGATGTTACAGAACTATCAGCTTAAGAGGTATAAACAATAAGGCGGTCTTATCGCTAAGGAGCGTATATTTGTGTATAGAAGTGTTGTGTATATGTGTGTATAATGCCTATATTTACAATATCGTATAGGTACCTCAAACCCTTCTCACTGATCATTGTATCCTCAGTAACATTGTTGTCTGGAAGAAATCGCTTCCAATCGTACCATTTGTACCTTACATGTAATTGTTTGTTACTTTTGTAAATTTGTCTGGTGTACAATAAAGCGTATTTCATTCATTTATTGGCAGTTACGATTTTTGAAAAAAACTCAAAGGAATTACTTGGTTAAATGACCCTACAAAAAACCCCTATCGCTTAACAGATTAGTCTAGACTTATACCGCATAAAGAAGTAGAAGTATCTAAAGTAATTCTTAATTTCCGAGGGGAAAAAAACGTCAACATATATAATATAAAACATAGATTATGGATCTTTTCCATTAAGCGTATTTATGCAATTTTCTTAATATATTTGAAAATATTTTTGCGTCGGCAGAATCGACTGCTCGCTTGCCACCATGCGTTGCCACGAGAATGCGTTGACGAGATGACCTTCTTAATGAATCAGAATGATCAATTCAAAGAGTTCAACCATCCTTTTGGCAACTCAAATGACATTTGAAAAGCCATTTGACAGCTGATTTGTCTACGATGATCGGTGTTTCAGAAACCAGGCGTGTGTCTCCAATTACGATGCACGGAGCTGGTACTCACTGCCATAGTAATACTGGTCCACCGTTTTCAGCCAGCCCACGTCGTCGTGGGTGTGGGGCACGATGTGCACGTTCAGCAGACCGGCCTCCGCTTGGGTGCAGCTCTAGAACGAAGCAGAGGATGACGGAAGATGACGTGCGAAGAGATTTTTCAAAATCAAAATCAAATGTATTTATTCAACATAGGAGCATTACACTCACTTATTGATAGTCAAAACACTACCACCGGTTCGGAAAAGAAAGCCACTGTACTGAGAAGAACCGGCGAAAGAAACTCAGCGGGCTTTTTTTTTTTTTTTTTTTAATAAGCAGTTTGACATAAATTCGTTAAAATACAATATAAGAACTCCGATTGAAAGAGCCTGGAGCGATCAGTTCATTACCAGAGTGTGTTATCATTTAAATAATCATTAATATTATAGTAGCCTTTAACACACAAACGTTCTTTTACTATTTTTTTAAATTTAGCTATTGATGCATTTTGAACGTTTTCTGGAATTTTGTTGTAATAACGTATACATTGTCCCATAAAAGATTTACTTATTTTACGGAGTCTACTTGTGGGTAGGATCAATTTATTTTTGTTCCTAGTATTTATATCATGAACATTATTTTTTTTCAACCAACATTATATTATTTCAACCTTACTTCTATGGGTTGCATCGGCCATCTTAGTTTTCATAGGGGAATCTATTCAACAGTCGCTTGAACCAATTTGAGCAATAGCTTAATATAACAAAAAAATATGTGGGAATAATATAGTGGCATGGCTTGTGCCCGGTTCCTATATTCAACGAACGGCCGTTAGTTATATAGCTCCGTAACTTTCATAGCGAGTTGTAGATAAAAGGCGTTTTCCTTACGAGCCGTTGCGTTACCTACGGAAAGTGATTTACTTGAGCTCCTTTAACCTACCAAGTCGTTCTGAAAGTTACGAAGCAATGTAACTAACGGCCGTCCGTTGAATATAGCAACCGGGCATTAGTGGGTAAAGCATCACGGCGCGAATACCGAAGACGCGGGTTCGATTCCCACAGCGTCGAAACGCTTCGTACATTTTTAAACGGTTTTATTTAGCTCGACCCGTACGGAATTTGTTTGTTTATTTGGGACAAAATTAGAAATTGAAATTTAAGCACCTTCCCGTTGTCAGATTGATCTGAAATTTGGTACACACATTTAATTTAGATGACAATACAATATTGTAGTTTTCAGTGCACTTAAAATAAAACCGTGTAACTTAAAAGTTTTTAAACGGTTTTATTGACTACAAATTTTGACTTCCGACATATTTACACGTTGACTCGCTGGCCCTGCCCACCCCACTGACGAAGCGAGTCGCGATGCAAACTAATTAACGCAACCGGCAAGACGGCCGTGCAAATCCGATAACACCCGACCTTACGTTTGATTAACGGGCATCGCCATAACTAAAGCGGCGGTATGATAACAATAGAATTGGCGTCACGAGAATGTCACGGCGATAACTTCGTCGCGGCGGATGACATTGTACTGCAAACACTTATATTTCCTTAAAAAAAGTAAAGTTACAGCTTATACAGCGTGTCGCTACCATCGCGACAATAAATGAACACACGTCTAACGCTACTTGCCAATAATCATAAAAAATATTAACGTTAAACAAAATCCATAATTAAAAAAAATATATTTTTCAAACAAACTAATTAAGTAAAAAAGAAACAAAATTTGTAACATCCTATACAACTCGCGCCACAGCGTCGCATTACAATCCTCTCCTTCTAACAGTATGTTTTGTCTCTTTTAAATTCATTCAACCCATTCATATGCTTTGTGACCTTTACAAATGAACGTTACGTTACGCTTTTATAGGTAAGGATGTTCTAAAATTCTTTGTTTTGGAAAATTTAATAAATCTGTAAATATTGATGTTTAAAGAATTTAAATGTTTAATACAACTTTAAAAAGTTATCCCCTATATGTATGTTCATTTATTGTCGCGGTAGTAACGACACGCTGTATATGTCCCACTGCTGGGCAAAGGCCTCCTCTATACAAAGGGTATCTGGGCATAGTCCACCACGCGGCCGCACTGCGGTTTGGCAGACTTCACATATCTTCGAGATATTTTCATTGTTATTATTTCGAAAATATACAGTTTTAATCACAATGTTTTCCTTCATCGCTTGGCACGTAATACTCATCATCATCATCATCATGATGATTGGCACGTAATAATGCAGCACCCAAAATTAACAATTTCATTGGTATTGTTTCTGAGAATTTAACTATGGTTGCTATTATAGTGAAATAAAAGCGAGCATCCGTTCAATGACCTATTACGGCAGAGAAAGAAAATATCTGCTCACACCAGAGCCGTGATAGCTCAGTGTCCGGGCGCTCGCCTTTAATTCAATATACTCGAGCAACCTGAGTTCGATCCCCGGTGCCGGCACCAATGAAGTTTTTAACTTTAAGTGCTGACTTATCACGTGCTCCGCGGTGAAGGAAAACATCGTGAGGAAACCTGCATATTTTCGAAATAATAACAAAAAAAAATATATATTTCGAAAATATGTGAAGTCCGCCAATCCGCAGTGGGGCCGCGTGGTGGACTATGCCCTGATACCCTCTGTATAGAGGAGGCCTTTGCCCAGCAGTGGGACATGTATTGGCTGTTACTTTACTTTACTTTACCGACTCCAGAAATAACAATAAATGTAACTAATTTATTTTTATCATCGTAATAATTTGATTGACTATTAAGTAAACACAAAGATCGTACTTACATATTGATGAGAAGAAAAAGTAAGTTGATTATTAAGTTTTACAAGAATTCAGGGAGTATTCTTGTTTTTAGTGCATACATTTTTTTAAATAGTTTTTTTTAAGTGTTTTTTATCGATATATCGATATATTTCTTCACTTTCCGCAACCCTAATCTAATGGGTGGTGCGGTTTGTGTCATCGTTTGGGTCCTTCGTTTGTTGTTGTTTACAATACATCTGTCATCTCTCTCCCTCACTCTTTGTCTCTTTCCCCCTTTCATCTTACCTCATAACCGCACCTCTCGCCGTCGCGTGGTGTCGTCTCTTCGTACAGAGGCACGGCCAGGGCGCCACTCGCGCACAACACCAAAAAGACTGTATGCATAATCTGCAACCAAAATACGATATTGAAGTGACAACTTCTTCAGATGCATCGAGGACTTTTTGGGTAGGCAAAATTCATGGAACTCGCGTCATCGTCACCGCACTCTTTCCATACTTTAAACCAAGTGTGAGCCGGAGTCGCGCACAAAGGGTTCCGTATCATCACTACATAGTATAAAACAAAGTCTTTAAAACTCCGCAACGGATGATCCGTTGCGGTTTTTTACTAGATAGAGTGATTCAAGAGGAAGTTTTGTATGTATAATACATTGCACCCGTGCGAAGCCGGGACGGGTCACTAGTTATCTATAAAATCTGTTGTATGGGAGCCCCACTTAAATGTTTTTTTTATTCTGTGAAAATTTCAACTGTCTAACTATCATGATTTATGAGATACAGCCTGCTGACAGACGGACCGACGGCGGAGTCTTAGTAATAGGGTCCCGTTTTAACCTTTGGGTACGGAACCATAAAAAAGGAATACGCCCAAACATATTTGTAGTATGTGTATCCATAATATGATATAAATACTGTGTCTATAAAATATTTAGAATTAAATATTACACGATTTTAATTTTGACATTGTTTTATGTTTTCAATTCTGGCGGCAGTCCCCATGAGCATGCCTATGTTTTTTAATCTTTATTTGTAGGCACGTAACTATGGAGTGTAGAGGTAAGGAGTCTCACAGGGGAGAATAGTTGAAAGTGTCTATCCGTAAGTAATCCTTACCGATATTATAAACGCGAAAGTTTGTATGTATGGATGGATGTTTATTACTCTTTCATGCAAATACTACTGAATGGATTTTAATGAAACTTTACAATAATATAGCTTATACATCAGAATAAGACTTTTTTATTTATATACATATTTTTATGTATATCTTTCTCCCTAATGTTATGTCTTCAGCCTCTTCTACGCACTTAGTCGCGGGCAGCAGCTAGTAAATAATAGTTCAAAAACTCTCCGCAACGTCGCTAGAGTATCTAGAGGGTATAAAATGAATTTAGCAGTTGTCGACGGAATGAAGCGTGCTGAGCTGAGAAATTTAATATTTACGATGACTTGAGTAGTTGATGGAAATGCAGTATACAAAACCTCAACTTAAATGGTGTATTAAGTTACATACAAATAGTTGTCCCGTGTGAGGATAAAACCCACGACCCCCGGCGCCAATGCCTTGACAACTGCGCCACGGAGCCATCAAATGAAAATATGAAGACATACGGGTACATAAAATTGGAGTGTCTGTTTGTAATATTAAAATAACACTTTTTACTAAATGTACTTTTTATTACATGGTACATATACCAGAATAACATTTTTTTTACAATTTTTTGTCTGTCCGTTTGTTCCGGCTAATCTCTGTAACGGCTGGGCCGATTTGACGCTGACGGGATAGCTGGTGTTATAATAAGGAGTAAATTAAACTACTTTTATTTTTGAAATTATTTCATTTTAATTTTTCACGCGGAAGAGGTCGCAGGCACAGCGAGTAAATAAATAAATAAATAAATATATTGAATTAAAAGCGTGCGCCCGGACAATGAACAATTAAGTTTGAAGTAGGCAGTAGTTGAGGATGAATAAACACTTTCGTGAAGATGTTTTAACACCTTTATACAATCTATACGTTGGACCCTATTGACTCAACTGTATTCCTTGGCATAACTATTGATGCCAAACTGCAATGGGGCCCCCATATTAATAGACTGGCGAGTAGACTTAGCTCAGCAGCTTTCGCGGTCAAAAAATAAGACCGTTAACTGATGTAGATACGGCTCAATCTTTATCTTACAAAAGAGAGCTATTCGTGCAGTTTACAATCTGGGCCCCAAAGAATCGTTAAGAAACTTGTTTAAAGAGATAAAGGTATTGACTGTTGCTGCTCAATACATTTTTGAAAATGTTTTGTATGTCCATAAAAATAAGGATAAATTTTTAAGACATAATAATGTTCATGATATAAATACTAGGAACAAAAATAAATTGATCCTACCCACAAGTAGACTCCGTAAAATAAGTAAATCTTTTATGGGACAATGTATACGTTATTACAACAAAATTCCAGAAAACGTTCAAAATGCATCAATAGCTAAATTTAAAAAAATAGTAAAAGAACGTTTGTGTGTTAAAGGCTACTATAATATTAATGATTATTTAAATGATAACACACTCTGGTAATGAACTGATCGCTCCAGGCTCTTTCAATCGGAGTTCTTATATTGTATTTTTAACGAATTTATGTCAAACTGCTTATTTAAAAAAAAAAAGCCCGCTGAGTTTCTTTCGCCGGTTCTTCTCAGTACAGTGGCTTTCTTTTCCGAACCGGTGGTAGTGTTTTGACTAAGTGAGTGTAATGCTCCTATGTTGAATAAATACATTTGATTTTGATTTTGATTTTATAGACTTTCTATAACCTTTGTCTGTAAAATCTTTCTTAGTTAAGAGTTAGAGCACTCTTCAACTCTATGATATGAATGCAACCGACCGATATTTTTATTTATTAAGGCTTACCAACTAATTACATATGTATAGAACATTAAATACAAATATTTTTAACCTAAGATAACATAGGGAAATAGTACCGACGTTACCTATCTCTTGTAAAAGACGAAATAATTTTCCGCTAGCAAAAACAAGCACAGAATTCGCTAGACGTCATTATAATGTGATAGGCCTAAAGTGAGGGCAATGTTTAAAAAAAAAGAAATAAGAAAAAAAAGGCCCGCGCTTATACAACAAAGTAATACGAGATTTTGAAGTCATACGTAAGTTTAATAGTTACAGAATGAAATATTATATAACTAGTTTCATGATTGAACTAAATTATGATGCTACTGAACATGGCAGTGAAATTTTGGATTACATGTAAAAATGTGAAGTTCTGTAACACAGGATAACCTAGCATAGGAGTCAGAGTTCAAAATATCGTACCTTATCTCTTCCAATTTTATAAATGTGATTCCAATAAGTGTTTTTCCCATTTGGATTGGTTGTATGAATAAATTATTATTATTATTAATTATTATTACTTAATAATAAAGTTGTACACAATACACGTACATATTTAAATTACATACAAGTACATAGGTAAACACAACATTATAAAACAAACTCGAATTAGAGAACAGAAACTTGACTAAAAATTTATCTTTTACATCTGAGAAAAAATGCGAACATAAGAAAGTTGTAGATAAAACGTAGCAATAGATAGAGGTTGACAAAGTTGTAAGTATTTGAGGCGTGTATATATTTTTTCTTAAATATGTGCGTATGAGTTTTTCAAAATATATAATTATCTACATGACATTTCGGAAACAGAGCATTGTAAGCGTTTAGTTCAGTTGCTAGAGAAGTTATCGAGCCGCATTTATTTCTATATATTATACCGTATTTTCGTATATACAATTGATTACAGCCTGTAACAACTTATAATCAATAGTTTCCTGAGCAACTGACACACTGGTTGGAACAACCTGTAACTTACAGGTTGTTACAACCAGTGTGTCAGTTGCTCAGGAAACTATTGATTATAAGACAAACGGGACAGTAATTTATTGAAACACTAGCGCCCCTCCCCGGCTTCGCACGGGTGCAATGTTTTATACATATGAACCTTCCTCTTGAATCACTCTATCTAGTAAAAAAGACCGCATCAAGATGCGTTGTGTAGTTTTAAAGATCTAAGCATACATAGGAACAGACAGACAGCGGAACGACTTTGTTTTATACTATGTAGTGATGCACAGCAAAGAGGCGTTTACATTTCAAGTGAAATTTTACCACAGTCACTCACTTGTTTTGCCTACTCGGTACCCCTCCACTAAAACTTAAACTTTATGCTATGGTATTAAAGTTCAAATTGACTTTTAAGTATTATTGTACGGGAATATAGAAACGTGTTGTTTTTAAGGCCCATTTACACGATGCCATTTTCTTGTACATACAAGAGCAATAATTGAATGCAATAAGTTGCACGCAATAATTGACCATCAAGAATTGTAAGCAACAGTTTACACGCAGATATAGTAAAAAAAATTTAATGCTATTATTGAATTCAAGTTTTGACAAGAAATAATTGCAAATGTCTTTTGTTTACACCAATGCAATTATGTTTAGGCGATTATTGCTTTCAAGTTTTGACTTGTCTAAACACATGCTTGTATGTGCGTGTACAATTCATTGGCGTGTTGCTTCAAGAATTGCACGTATTTGCGTTGACAAATATTTCATGCAAGTGTTGAACGTTTTACAAAGGGCTGTTTTTTTTAAAAAAATGGCTCAATAATAAATTTTCAAGTTAGATTCTGCCGATTAAATATATTTCATTGAGATTTATTTATTATGATCCATATATTATTATTCATATTTTTATCCAACTTTTTTTACGACCTTTTCTCAATATTTCTATCCTCAAAAGAACAGCAACGATTAAATACCCTCACTCATTGCACTAATTTTTGCAAAGGAAGAGAGAATGCAATTGAATACAAGAATTGCTTAAGAAATTATTGTGTGCTGTTTACACCAAGGAAAGTTTTGAAACAAAACTTGAAGCAAGTCTTGTTCAACAGTCAAGAATGTTATGTGCTGTTTAGACAATGCAACTCATTTATTGCTTCAATTTAATTGTATATAACAGGCAAGAAACTTGCACCGTGTAAATGGGCCTTTAGACTATTTCAGGCAATTTTTAAATTTTTTTCTTTCATAAGTACCTTCTCCTGATAATAACAAACACAACAAAAACGTGATGGCGTGACCAAGGGAAATAGGGATTCATTTTTATGTATATAGATAGATTTTGACCGGTTTTGTGAAACACTGAATATCGTAGATGTCAACTAATCAGCTGTCAAATAGCTTTTCAGGTGTCATTTGAGTTGTCAAAAGGATGGTTAAGCTCTTTGAATTGATCATTCTGATCATTAAGAATACGTTCTGATAAATTCAAGGAGTTTAACAATTAGTTAAGGTAAGAGTGCTGCCTTACGTATCGATACGGAGGCTGTTCAAACATCATTAACGAATGACTTCATTTACTTTTCAACGTGAACAAACCATTTGAGACTAACTCATTTAATCGAACAGTTTAACTAAACAAAGCTGTTCGCCATTAAAACATTGTATGTATGTAAACGAAAGATAATGTACAACGATAACGTCTTTGAGAATATTACAAACAGAGGTTTTAATGATTCACATACCAACGCGATTAGTGACCATTGTCAAATGAAACGCCGCCATTTTGAAAACTAAACCGTTTTAAACGGAGTAAAAAAACTATGGATTTTCGTAAAAATGTCATTGCTAATAAAAAAAGCATGTTTTACTTCTATTGCATACAGACATTGAACGCAACTGATAACGGCTTATTTAAATAATTTGAAAGTCCCTGAAGGACCGAACTTTGCGGTTTTTTTTTTGTAAATCGTGTATTGGAAATAAAAAAAAATAAAGAAAGCAATCATCTGGTATAGAAAAAAAGTAAAAAAATAAGTGTGTAAATGATCGTGACACGAACCACGGCCATCTGTTTCGGGGCCGCCCGATTACCGACCGAGCTGTTATAACATTTTTTTTGCGGCGAAATTTACCGTCGAAATGATATTTTTCAATCCCTGAAAACAGGGATAAAAGGACATTTTCTAAAAATGAAACCTAGCAAGATCGATTTTTCGCTCCCGAATCTACGCACATACTACTAAATTTCAAGAAAATCGCTGGAGCCGTTTCCGAGATTCCGATATACACCGTGTCCTTACCACCGCGACAATAAATGAACACATATAGAGGATAACTTTTTTAAATTGTATTAAACGTTTACATTCTTTAAACATCAATATTTACCGAGTTATTAAATTTTCCAAAACAAACAATTTTAGAACACCCTTACGTATGAAACTGTAACGTAAAGTTCATTAGTAAGGGTCACAAAGCATATGAATGGGTTGAATGAATTTAAAAGAAATAAAACATACTGTTAGAAGGAGAGGCTTGTAATGCGACGCTGTGGCGCGAGTTGTAAGTATAGGATGTGACAATTACTGAATGTATAAGAATATATATATAAAGTAAGTAAGTATAAGAATATATACAAGAATTGCTCGTTTAAAGTAAATAGATAGATTATTGGAAAATGTCAAAAAGTTTTCATCGGTTGCCAAGGTGTGCGCAGGCATCGTAAAAGTTTTACTCTCGTAATTTATTCAAATGCGCTAAAATAATTAGTATAACTACAACAAACTAATTTTAGTATTATATACCGTACTAAAATTAAACAAATTATTAACGACAAGATATATGAAACAAGTTTGCTAAAGAATATTGTATTCATTACATGAATAAATACATAAACTTATTTGCTTAGAAAATAAGAGACGCGTATCGATTATAAACCAAAATTTTCGAACAAAAAAATCGCTATTACAGACATAAATCTGTCTATACAGACAGAAATCTGTGGCAATTATTAGTTACATTCAGTGTAGTATTTAATTAGCCGCAAAATGCACCGAAAAAATTCTCCTCATTTTTGTCATATTTTGCAAGATTTCCAAGCTGGTTCCTAAGGCCGTACACGTCTAAACGACACAACTATAAGGAACCCACATGCCATTGTAAACAGACGGAAGGATCGTTCGAGACCCGGTTACGAGCCGTTAGGGCGACAAAAAGCGGGCGTCGCCGGGGTATGTCGCGAGTTAAAACCCACCGGACTAGCCTTTTTATCGAACCCGGACCTCGCGAAATGCGGCTGCCTACGGGACCTATGCAATAACTGTTAAGGCCCATTTACACGGTGCCAGTTTCTTGCCTGTTGTATACAATTAAATTGAAGCAATAAATGAGTTGCATGGTCTAAACAACAAATGGTCTAAACAATTGCGCGCAATTTATTGCATTCAATTATTGCTCTTGTATGTACAAGAAAATGGCATCGTGTAAATGGGCCTTTAGTGTTTATACTCTTCCGAAACGGCTAGACCGACTTTGACGAAATTTTTACATGTATATTCAGTACGTATAAGAATAGATTTATAATAATTTTTTTTCTACCCTACAAATCCTTACAAATCTTTACTTAATATTATCAAGGCGAAAGTTTGTATGTATGGATGGATGTTTGTTACTATTTCACGCAAATACTACTGAATGGATTCTAATGAAACTTTACAATAATACAGCTTTTACATCAGAATAAGACATAGGCTATAATTTATATACATATTTTTATGTATATCTTGTCTTTCTGTCCGAATGTTACGCCTTCAGCCTATTCTACCGGTATGCTTATATCTTTAAAATTACGCAACGGACCTTGATGCGGTTTTTTTTTACTAGATAGAGTGATTCAAGAAGGAGGTTTATATGTATAATACATTGCGAAGCCGGGGAGTTTCGATTACGGATTCGGATAAATTCCGGGACTGCGGATTCAAACTTTTAAATAAATATATGATTTATATTTATTTATTAATAAATATATGGATAATAAAATATATGATTTATTTTATTATCCGTAAAAAATCGATGAATGGTTCTTTTTTTTATAAAACTGGACACGTGGCCACTGTTGCTTTAGAGAATCGTCGTACAGTAATAGCGCTGTTGAAAAATTATTGACGAACTGCGTATAAATGAAGAACCAGAAACGTTTATTCACGGTCAAAAAACAAATGAATACATATAAAACTTAAAAATAATAATGTAACTATACAGAAACTTAAAATAAATGTAAACACAAAATAACAACAGTAAGTGACGGTCTGTGTAGCAGCATAAGACCGTGAAACGGACGGGACTCGGTAAATAGCAGTAAACGCCGCATCATATTGCAACACGACAAAGCTAGTTCCCACACAGTCGGACAGACAAACGAATTTTTGAAGGTGAAATACGTAGAACTTACAGCCATCCTGCATACAGTCCTGTCCTGGCACCTTATGACTTTTTTATGTGATAGCAACAAACGAGTTGCCGGTTCACCTGATGTTAAGTGACAACCGCCGCCCATGGACATTTGCAACAACCGCCGCCCATGGGTTGCAAATGCGTTGCCACCTTTAAATAAAGTGGGCCCCAGGTACCTCACTCGCCAGACGAAACGCAGAAGTGTAACACTTCCTGCTCACGCCGGTCTTCTGTGAGGTCGTGGTACTTACCCGGACGGACCTGCCCATTCGTGCAACAGCGAACCGTTGCGCGGCCCTATCACAGTGAACATTTATAGAAAATCCATTTAACAACTGTTCCCTTTGGTCGACTCCTCTGTTCCCAATAAACAAACACGTATCTCCTGTCATTAACGATAACGGGTGGTCATAATACTTTATACGAAGTTTATTACGCACGTTCCTTCTATAATCACTACATAGTATAAAACAAAGTCGCCCCGCTGTCTGTCTGTCCCTATGTATGCTTAGATCTTTAAAACTACGCAACGGATCTTGATGCGGTCTTTTTAAAAGATAGTGATCCAAGAGGAAAGTTTATATTAGGACCCTATGCGACTACTGAACAACTGTTCATCGCACAATATTTTTCCAGTAGTGGGAATCGAACCCACAACCTCTGGCGCAAGAGTCAGACTCAGTATCAACTACGCCAATTGGGTCGCCAATATAAAAGTTTCATGGGGAAATACATTCTCATTGATACAACAATATCCCAACTACAATTGGTATGACCCGAATTGATAAACAAAGATTGACATTCAAAGGCGATTTCAAACTTAAACATAGATAAAACATTGCCACAATTCCTATCAATCTCAAGTACCGTAGTTAGAAAATGAATTGTCACCAACCGATGTTAGTCGTAGGTAAAATTTGAATGCACAATACAGTATGTCCCGTTTATGTAAAATCGCTTGCATCATTATTCATTACACGCGCACTTGTAGCATTCCAACTGAATATACTACGACATCAAAAGATGCAAAGTAACTCAAACTTTGACCTTTCTATGGTAAATAGCAGGCGCACTTTTTAATAGACTTTCTAGATTGTAAGTACGTAAGTTTTATAAGTACCGTAATTGGGTGAAAAAAAAGTAGAGTAGCAGCCTATAATGGCCAAATGTTGGACAAAGGCCTCCTCTGTACAGCGGGTATCAGGGCATAGTCCACCACGCGGCCCCACTGCGGGTTGGCGAACTTCACATATCGTCGAGATATTTTTTTCTGTCATTATTTCGAAAATATGCAGGTTTCCTCACGGTGTTTTCCTTCACCGTTGATAAGTCAGCATTTAAAATTAACAATTCCATTGGCGCCGGCACCGGCAATCGAACCCGGACACTGAGCTGTCACACAATTTAGTGTGCCGTTTTATAAAACAAATAATATTACAACAAAATCTCATCCGTTAAGTTCAAAAATTGCACTTTATAAGACAATATTAAGAGCTATCGATATCCCGTTGTCGAGATGTGCTACCAAAAATATATTTATTGCGGTAAAGTGATAAAACAAATATTAACAAAATCCAGTTTAAAAGTTTCACATAAAAAGCTACAATCAAAGGGTCAAATACAAAAAACAACTTAATAAAATAACATTTATTTAATAGAAAAAAAAGTCAGAAGTTAAATTACGTATACATCCCTAGAGTGATATTACATATCAATTTATTAGATGTAAATACCGTATTTAAAAACCCATCTGGAATCACGTTTATGTTTATATATTAATACATGGTTAGCCATTGTTGAAAAACCATTAGCAAATAAGCATTACCACCAATAACATAAATAACAATTCCACGTTAAATAACACGAAAGATAAGAGTCTTTCTGGAAAACAACCTATAATCCTGGTTTCAATAACAAATAAACATTATGCTGTTAACACAATACATCAGACACAATTATAGTCAGTATTAAAATATTTATGCATATTACTCACGGATTGAGAGCGCCTACATTGACTTTAAAAAGATAGCGTATCGATAGTTTAAACTTATTTACTTTGTTAACTTAACACTTAACAGTCAACTTACAACGATAAAGCGCAAAAGGCGACTGACTGAGGGATCAGGGAACTGATTGATTTGTTGACGGTTGACTGTTAAATTAAACTGGACCAAAGAGAATTTAATCGCGGATAAAATGTACCGGACTGCAGTATAATTATGTAATATTATTTATAAACATATTTGTGATTCAAGTAATCGATACAACTTTATGTGCTATGTATCGCTATTGTTATCAATAGTTTAACAGGAACAGGCCAAAAGGTTGTATAACTAATCAATTAACCGACCTAAACAAACAATGCTATTTTTTACAAAACTTAAATTATAACATGACATAATCAAAATAATGGATTAAAAATACAATAACATTTCTTTAATGGAGAAAAGAAATAATATATTAAAAAAATTGTATAATTTGAAACTGCCCAATTAGACCAATACCTTTTTAATAATTTAAACTATCCTCAACCAGTAAATTAAGAAAAATATACTTAAGATTAAAGAAAGAAATTTATTTAGCATCATATTAATGCTTTTTAATTCTTTTTTAGATACAAAAGTAGTAGCAATATGTACATTGTACAACATCTGTCAAATGTCAAAATATGAACAAAATACTACATATTACAAAGTTTTCTTCTTAGTTTTGTATTATTTTTAAAATAATATACCTTTCAAACTTTGAATTTTGTATTAACTTTACGCATTATATGTTAAAGTGTATAAAAATGTCTGATATATGGAGATTTTCTCAGTATTCTGAGCCACTTTTACGAAGATTACTCGAGACTGTGAACACATTAGACGACAACGAATGGAGCGAAAAATTCAAACAGTCAACGGAAGCCTGCCGAGACTATTTTAATGATCCAAGCACTATTATAACAATTAATGACACCGCCGGGAATAGTGAAGAATATAAATTACCGGCAACTTGTGAAATTGAAGAAAAGGCGATGGACACGAAAGTCGATGTTGATTTCTGCAACTGTATTGAAGCAGAGCCCTTTGCGAGATTAGACTATATGACCGAACAATGTCTGAAACGTCCTTACCTAGTTGCTAACCTCGCTGAGCATTTATCTGTGAATGCAGTAGAGAAAATGTTCAATGCAATTCTTTCAAGAGTCGATGTAGACCTAGAGTTTATTTCCGTTTTCATCCAAAAATTCTTTCCTATATTTCTAAAACGTGAACAGTCATTGCTAGCCTTTGATCTACTTCTTAAAACTTATAGAGTATTTCCGGACCCTTTTAAACCATTACTACATAAACTCATTGAAGATGTGAACATTCCAAATTCAGTGCTGCAGGAATTATTGCAAAGTTCCATGGAACTGCAGAAAGATTTCATGTCATCAATACTCCACATGAACTTTACAGAAGAAATGTTTAAACATCATTTATATACTTTGTATCTAGTATACAAAGATTGTATAAAGTCAGAAATTATACAAAAGTACATGCGGTCAAAGCTAATAGAGAATGCTTCAAACTGTGCCAATGAAAAGAATTATGGACGATTACTACTTACATTTCTTCAAGCGCAAAAGTGTTTAAAGCTGACAACAGATTGCGCAATGTTACAGCGGGTTGTTGAACAACATAAATCTCCGTTTAAAAAGCCTTGTATGACCATCTTGAATGAGATAGAGGAAAGAGAGAAATCCTTACGGTGAAATTAAACCATACATTTACACATGTTATTATAATACAAACTTTAATTAAGATTAAAGACGAGAGGAAACTAAGGAAAGTCCACTTTTGCCAATTCCTAATCAAAATAAAACAATGGTTTAATTGCAAGACACTTTAATTTAAATTATAATAAGACAATAATTTTAAGTAAGAATCGGTATTAAAATCTAGTTCTTTTACATGCACCAGCATGAATAACAAGTAGATTTGATATTTTAATAGTTTTGTCTATTAAGTAGAGACAACCAATTTGAGGTTGGCAACACATCATAATATTCATGGACATGTCTTTAAACAGTATATTATACTTAAAGTAGCTTATTATACTTAATTTCATGCTGACACTTCAAAAATAGAAATATATATGTCCTGTCTGTAAATAGAAAAAATAAAATGTGTAAATCGGAGTTTGAAAAATCTAACTATCACTATTTCTTTGAACAGATCCAAATTTTGGAGTCTATTTTTATATTATGGCAAAGATTTATTTAAAATATTTTACCTTTTCGTAAACACATCTTTGTATCGCCATAGAACAAATCTATACAATAATAAAAAAGTAGAATCGGCGTGTCTGTACATTGAATATTTTTTTATGAAAAAACGAAAAAGGGTATCATAAAAAGTCTTATAGGAAACATAAAAACCATTTTTGGAATTTTTGTCTGTCTGTCTGTTAGCGATAAACTTGAAAACTTCTTATCGAATTTTGATGCAGTTTTCACTGGTTACTTAAGCAAAGCTTGGGGCAGGACCTAGGCTTTGTTTCATCTCAATGGGTTCACTCAAACGGGAGATATGGGAGTTTTAAGATTAAAGCAGTGCAGTCGCAAACAGTTATCACAGTTATCCTACTACGGCCACTTCTAGAAGTGGGCGATACAAATCGTATCAGATATGAAAACTAGATATTAGTACAATATCCGAATATCGCTTACTGGCTCGTTCAATATCTATGTATTTTACAATATCTGATATTTCCGAAATCTGATGTAACGTGCTCGCTCGCTATACCGACACGAATCGCGATATCATACGCGTTTGCCACAATATCTGATTTTTAAACAGATTTCGAGAGACAAAGCGCGTGAGATACAAATACTCACTAGTTAAAGCGGGACGGCAAGCAATGCACGATATCAGATATCGAGCGACAAAGCGCGTGAGATATAAATACTCACTAGTTAGAGCGGGACGGCAAGCAATGCACGATATCAGATATCGAGCGACAAAGCGCGTGAGATATAAAAATACTCACTAGTTAGAGCGGGACGGCAAGCAATGCACGATATCAGATATCGAGCGACAAAGCGCGTGAGATATAAATACTCACTAGTTAGAGCGGGACGGCAAGCAATGCACGATATCAGATTTTTAAACAGATTTTGAGCGACAAAGCGCGTGAGATACAAATATTACACTAGTTAGAGCAGTACGGCAAGCAAGGCACAATATCAGATTTTTACAGATATTATGAATAAGTTAAGTAATTTTGAATCTTATCACTATGCAAATAAGATCCGTTTTAATTAAATACTAATCTTGGTATCAAAGATTACTACAACGATATTATTATATTTCTATTGTTTTGTTTAGCCTTGAGCCGTAACGGGCGACAAAGCGCGCAGTTAAGTAATTTTGAATCTTAACAGCATGGAAAAAAAATCTCTGTTGCATTTAAATACGAATTACGGTATTAACGATGTCTTTAAATTTTGTTTAGTCTTGAGCTGGATTGCATTGGTACTAAGCACGTAATAGTAAGGGATGCCAACTTACTACTTAAGAATTTTCTGCCTAAATTAAGGAAGAAAAATATAAATGGAAATTTTTTAGGAGGTAAATTTTTTGTGAATATTTTTATTAGTTAAATTTTATTCATATTTTTGGAAAAAAATAAGAGTACACAAAAAGAAAAATATAATTTAATAGTGTTGTGCTGCTTGGGTGGAAATCAGACCAAGGCTTATGTGCTTTGTGTGTATATTTTAAATTCTTCTAAGCCCTAAGTTATAATACAGAATGTATTATTTCTTACACAAATTATAAAATATTGTCACTCATGATTGCGTGTTCTAAAAATATGTTTAAGTCTATTATTAAGCGATATATAAGATGTTAAAATAAATCATTTTTATATTACTTCAATTTGTATTTTTTATGAAATTTTTAATTTAATCAGGTAATGTTTTAATTTTACCTTAATAGTATAAAAAAATCGTGATTTTAAAATCAGTAAGTTTTTTGAATTTAGTCAATTTGAGTGAGTTTTCGAATTTATTTAGAAGTATTCTTTTTGAACAGTTGGTATCACTGGTAATAGCTCTAGTTATGTATAGGTACAATGATCGTCGAACAAGACTTTCGACGATTAAAATCAAACAGCTTACGTTCGTAAACGTGAATTTAAACCCGGAGGAATCTAAATAATTATTAACCCACACATCATTGTAAATAAGTTAAGTTTTAAATATCAGGAAAATTATGTACATAGAATGAATCAACTTTTAATTACTCTTTTTTTTTTTTTTTTTTTAGAATTCAAGGTGGATACGGGACCGTAAAATATCTAGATATTAAAATACATAGTTTCGAAATCTGATATTTGAAATCGATATCTGATTCAGATACGGTACTCAGAAAAAGCGATACGACCCATCTTTATTGTCTATGGCGAAATGGGTATCAGCACTAAGTCGTGTTTGGTTTCCATTGTTGAGATCAAATCGTTCTCATTCTTTTAAATTCTATCGAGGCATTTTTGTAATAAATACTAAAAGGTAAATTCAATGATTTAGAAAATACTACATAATAAGTATCTTAATTACAAAAAAAATATCAGATACAATTTGTGAGTCAGTGATAAAAAATTATATTCCTAAACAGTGACAGATTTGTCCGTTGGTCGCCTTAGGCTCATTAAAGATTAAGAGAAAAGACTCGCTGGAAGGCACAAAAAATTAAACAAAGAAAGTTAGTACATAATATTACGGAGCCGACGAATGGTACCTACTTATCAGGCCCGCTTGGTTTGTTATAATTTTCATGGAATGTCGCCTACGCAAAGAAGCGAAAGGCAAGCGACGCTGCTAAAACACCCCACTAATTTGCAGCCCCCTACATTTGGCCCGCCGAGTACGCGGTCTATATAGAAATCCACTAGTGTTCCTAACAACTAACCAAATCGCAAACCAAAATCAAGAATATCCCTATACCGAGCAAAACTAAAATCGTACCTATCGTATAAATCTCAGTTGAAGAAATTCGCATTATTATTATTAAAATGCAAATGGTCGGCACTTGTCCTTAATTATCTTGTGAAAATATTATGTATACAGCGCATTTTATGAAGAACAACGCCATCTAGTTTTGCATGGGAACTAATTCCTTATCTTTTTACTCAGCTTTTTTTAGGGAACCAATTGCAATAAAACAAAGATTTAATGTTGGACAGAATTAATCTTGAATACGCGAATGGCGCGAAAAAAATAAAAGTACACAAAAAGAAAAATATAATTTAATAGTGCTGTGCTGCTTTGGTGGAAATCAGACCAAGGCTTATGTGCCTTGTGTGTATATTTTAAATTCTTCCGCCCTAAGCTATAATACTGAATGTATTATTTCTTACACAAATAATAAAATATTGCCACTCGATTGCGTGTTCTAAAAATATGTTAAAGTCAATTATTAAGCGGTATATAAGATGTTAAAATAAATCATTTTTATATTACTTCAATTTATATTTTTAATGAAATTTTTAATTTAAGAATTTAAAAAAACGCATTTTTAGTAAGACAGGGTTAACTATTAATGATCGTCGAACAAGACTTTCGACGAATAAAGTCAGAGAGCTTACGTTCCTAAACGTGAATTTGAACCCGGAGGGATATAAATAATTATTAACCCTGACGTAATTGTAAATATATAATGTTAAGTTTTAAATATAAGGAAAATTATGTACATAGAATGAATGAACTTTTAAATACGCCTGCACAATTTTATATTTATAATAAGTAAATATTGCAGCCAGGCCTAAGCCTGGAAAAAGTATGAAGGGAAGTTATTTCATTCATCTTATATCCACTCCCTTAAAGTATACAAATTTTTTTTTTTTTTTTTTTTTAGAATTCAATTTATCAACGTGGATAGGGAACCGTAAAATATCTAGATATTAAAATACATAGTTTCGAAATCTGATATTTGAAATCGATATCGGATTCAGATACGGTACTCGACCAGCGAAAAGCGATACGACCCATCCCTACCCACTTCTAATAGACACCATTCGTTATTGGAGTCAGTTACAGGTTAATTCGCGAATACCACTTGCTAGATCACTGACCATTGCACAGTTGTCAAGGCAATGCCTTCGGTGTGGGTTCGATTCTCACACTGGACAATTATTTGTGTGACCCCATAGTAATTGTATCCCAGAAGGCAAAACTATGAATGTGGTATTTAAAG